TGCTTAATACTTCCCCGCACATAATGTCTCTGTCCCAATTTGTTCGCAGCTGCTTTCTCCCCACAGACTAAACATTTATGTTTGTGAGAATCCCTGAGGATAAATATCCAGAAGCCAGCCTTTGCTGTTCCAGATTATCATCAGACAATATGTCACACACACACCCTTACAGTCTGTAACAATGTGGATGATGAGTCAGGCAGCATAGGAGAGGTGCTTGTGATGTTTGGTTATTTTTAAATGTATTGGGTTTTTAAAAACATTTTATTAGTTTTTCATTCTATCTACATTCAGTTCGTGCTTATTAAACATCAAGATACATGGGTTGCTTATAATTATTGGTTTTGCATCTTGGTGTCCTCTTGTCCCTTCAAAATCTTCACATTTTTTAACCATTTGAACCAATCATATGTGTGTTTCAGTGTACAATATTGGTTACTATCATAATATTGCTCTCATAGTATACAGTGTTCTCAAAATCCTCTAATAAGATAATTCATAAAAGTAATTTTGGTTTCAAATCTATATAATTTTGAGGCATGTTAACCGACCAACTTTGTATTTTATATCAGTAATAACTAAATAGATTCCTAACATAATCATTTATCTAAAGCATTTATATAGATTTTCTTTATAAATTAGTTTAGCCATTTCTGTCTCCAGATTTTCTGTCATGTCTATAGCGATATCATATCTATGTTAATTAAGTGCTAATTGTTTTACCTCTGCTTATATCAAGCTTCAATTTACTTAAGAGCCACCATATTATGTCTTAACCCTTATTAGCAATCCCTTGTTTCAGTTTGATTCCCTTTTCTAATATATATGATATGTCTCTTTACAATTCCAGAAGTTAGGTGTATACATATTTTCCATGTTGAAGGCCACCTCAGTGTTTTTCCCCTTTACATCTTTCTAAGTAACTCCTTGTCTTATTTGTCTTTTTCCAATTCTTATTTCCCATCTCTCTAAAAAAATTGCCATCCCTTGTACCACTCATGATCATTTTTTGCACTTGATCTATTTCCAATAGATCTTCCAGGCTATATTTAGTTAAATGTGCTGGTTCTCTCCCCTTATCTTCCCTTAGCACACTTAAAACTCTCCTCAGCTCCATGGTTAAAATTATATCTCTTAAATTTTCTCCTTTAGTTCCCTCCAGCCCCTCCTTTGATTGACATACATCATCCACCCTCTCATTTCCTTGCTCATTCTTCCTTGTCTCTTGTTGACTGTAGTCCTTCTTTAGCTGCTTCTTGAATAATTTCACCTCTTCATTGTGGGATCTCACTATATATAAGATTGCTTGAAGGGCGGATTTTGTTTCATCCCAGAAAAATTTCTTGTTGTAGCATTATGTCCCAGATATCAAACAATTGTATTCCAAGTAAAATTGTCCAGTTGCTTAGTAGTTATCAGTCCAATTCCATCAATACTTGCTTCCATAGGTCCATTTTAGTAGATTGATAATTTTCAGGGTTAAACTTAAATCCAGTCTCAAACGTGAAGAATATCTTCTGCTTGGAGGCTGAAGGTCACTTGCTCACCAGTTCTGGGCTTTTTGCCAATGCTGTAGATAGCTGTAAATAATTGTAGACAAAACATAACCAATATAACTCCAAGGTAATTAACTAATAAGAAAAAGATTCCTTGAGTTTCCAACACCAAAATAATACCAAACATACTTCCTTGAAGTATAATTAAATGTCTAATTAGTGTCTAATTTATTTTCTTTGCATCTCTTTGCATCTCTTCCTCTTTCCCGATTCAGTGCTGCTTTGTAAGTGTTGAGGATACAAGACACTATTTCTGTTATAGGGAATTGTCTCATCCACAGATAGTCATAAAGCCATATAGTTATAAACTATTTCCCACCCAATGATAAAAGACAATGTTAATTAAGGTAGTTTATCGCTTCTCAATTGCCAGCTGCCGACGACTTGCAAGCAAGCTTTCCAGCTGCTTGTTTCTGCCTGCTGGTTGATTGAGGAGTTTCCTGGATCAAAGGGGGATAACTGTCATCATACTCGTGATCAAGAGGCTTCTCCCCAATTTCATCACCTGTTTGGGGTGGCTTTAATCCCCTGGGGGTCCCAGGGGATAGAATTCAGGCCAGAGGACGGAGCTCCGTCCTCCTGTTGCTGTCTCGTCGCAGCATCAAGCCACAAGTCTTTTAAATGTATTGTTTATATTGTTTAGTACATCAATGGTGGAATGTGATGAGTGAGGCGCATGAGATGTTGGTAAGAATAGTTCTGATTGACTGAAAGAAAAACTAGATTAGGAGGGGAATGTGTATGGGCAGTAGTCTGATGAGGAGAGATCAGGGAGCGGGTGATCTTGGAGTCTGGGGAGACTGAGAGAACAGTCTGAGGGTCTGAGAGTGAAGTCAAAGAGAACAATCTAAGAGATACTGAGGAGAAAGAGGGGTGATAAAGAGAGTGAAAGATTGCACAGAATGAACTTGAAGTCTAGGAAGAAACATTGTTCTTTTGACACTGTTATTTTAATAAAACCTTATTAGATCTATTCTAGCTGAGAGGTACTGAGTTCAATACCTGGGGGCTGGCTTTGTGGGAAGTGTTATAAGGGCAACTTTACCTCTGACACTTGTGTGTCCTCTCATTTTCTTCTTCCTCTTCCTCATATCATTAGTTTGCTGTAGGTCAGTCTTATGACCTTTATTACTAACCAACAATAATTTTGTATGAAAAACATTTATATTAAGGCGGAAAATCTAAATTGGTGAGTAAGATTGGCTAATGACAGATCATTCTTTACCATTTTTACCACAAATAATGAACTAGTGATGATTTATAATAAACAAATAATAAACTGTAGATCAAAAGTATAAGAAAAGAACTGTAATGAAGAATACTAAAAGTGTATAAGTTTTTGTATGATAGAGTTTATACTACTTGTAAAAAGAAATTTATGATTATTTGTATCAACTTTGTGCAAATGTGCTACTTACCAGGAAAGTGCTGAATACTAATACTATATCAAACCATTTTGGGAAGTTGGAATGATCTTTGAGAAAGAGCATGCTGAATAGGTATTGAGAAATAAAACATATATGCTGACTTTGGTTGATGTTGTGAAATAAACAGGCAAAAATAAAAGAGCTGCAGAACATTGGCACCAAGATTGATGGCTGTTGGAAAGAAGCAGAAATTGCTGCTTTATCTTATCCCCTCTGGCTGTTTTTCTGCCTTTTTTCTCCTACAGACTTAGCCTTCATGACAGATCCTTTTAAACCCCACTGCCTAGAACCAACTTGGGTAAATGAGAGGGTTTTTTTTTCCTAAGGGCAATTGATTAATCAGAATCATATCTCAAGAGGAAAGAGTTAATTTCCGTCTCAATGAAAATACCCCCTGTTCCTGTTACAAATAACATAAATAGCCCCCAAATGTTTTCTGATAACACATTCAGAGTCATATCTACTTCTGTACATAAAATTTCAGTGTATCAAACTATCTGTGATTATGAATGAGATCTGCGTAGAGTTCTCCACTAAAAGGCACAAACAAATTCAGACTGTGTTTTATATCTTCTGTCCCATAAGATGTAATGGGATGTTACTGATAAATCACACACTCTGAGGTAATTTAGCAGAGTCTGCAAGTTCTCTGCAGTGCTATTACACTGATATATTATATACCTTTGACCATATATAAAGAGAAATACTTCGAGAATCATGCATTGTGTAATGAATTCTGCTTGAGCTGGAGTAGCCTTCCTTTGTTAGCAATTTCATGTTGTGATGCTGAAGGACTAGAAGGGTGTAACTGGACTGCTATAGTAGAATAGGAAACAGTACCGGTGAAAGGATGCTGCCCATAATTAATGAATGCTTGCTTTTGTTATTGTAAAATTTCATGTTCATTTTAATATTCATTATTATAGAAGATAGGGAGAGGGTTACAGGAACTAATCTAGTATGTTTCCTCTGCTCAATTGTGCAGTTGCTGATAATCTCGGCCAACTAGTGCTTTTGTTGTGCACCTGGACTTTCTTCAAAATCTAAACTCCATATTACAGTAATACCTTTATTAATACCATCCACCTGAAAAGAAAAGGAAAGGAAAGGAAAGAGGGACAAATCAAAGTTAATGACAGCTCAAGCTGTTTTTTTTCCTGATAAATTCAAAAATTTAATTCAATCACAGATTTTAAATGGCGAAGTAAAAATGAAGTGATCCAGAAGAATTGTGTCATTTCACACTAGAAGACCATTACTTTCCCATCTTGAAAAAGGGATAGTAAAGTAGATAGTGCTTTATGGTGTGTCGTAAGCTTCCTGTGCAGATATTCCCTTGTGCATAGTCAACTCAAACACAATTTTGAGTGGATCTTTTTCACACGATTCTATAAAATATGTGTGTTGTCAGAAATACAGCTAGTCAAGATACAGGGAGTGCAGCCTAGTCTCTTGGGGTAACATGGTTCAATTTCCTTAGGGCTCAATAGAGCTTTGTTTTCCTATTGGTTCAAGTACATGCAAACACAATGGGGGACTAATTGACCCCTATCCAGTTGTTCTTTCCTCTGTGCTTCAAGTTCCTAGCTTGCATGCACTCAAAATAGAGGACCGGGTGTGGGAACTGGAGGCTTGCTGTCATCTTTGTTCTGTTAATGACACAAGCGCTGCTTATGCATGTAAGGCAAACAGGTGGGGAAAACAAAGCAATGTTCAAACTTGTTGAAACTGGTCTACATGCAAATATTAGGTTGTATACTTAGCATATATCTTGCACAGGATTTAAAAAATATTCAGTGGAACATAATTATCAGGGGGTATTTGAATTTCTTAAGTATATGCCTATTCAAGGAATTTGAACTTTTTTCACCCAATTTTTAAAATGTTATCTGTTATTTCAATAAAAAGATTCTCTGATTCCCTAAAATATTTTACTCAGTCATATGTGCAATTCCTAATGTCCTAAATTTGTGCTTTGTTTATAAGTAGATTTTGAATATTATTTTTCCCCCTCCAGACTAAATTACTTGGCGTATTTTTCATTTCATCTCAAGAATTCCTGGCTAATGCTTACGTTTTGGCAGTCCTCCTTTTCTTTGCTCTTCTGCTGCAAAGAACTTTCCTTCAAGCATCGTACTATGTTGCCATTGAAACAGGAATTAACCTGAGAGGAGCAATACAGGTATTTCGGATACTAGTGATTTATTTGCTAAAAAGCTGTGTGAACTCAACTGTTTTGAGAGCATGCTTGGGCATAGTGGAATCATGCTCCAGTTTTTAAGAGTCAGTGGGCAAAGATCCAGTAACAGTTAGTTGTATAGTAATCGTGTCCTTTTGAATAGTCCAATTCCATAGTTTTCACTGAAAATTAGTCATGACCCTTGTTTACTTTCAAATATTTAAAATTTCTATTTAAATTAATTTACATGTAAATTACATGAATGCACAGAAGTATCTTTCTCATACCCTGATTTTTGTAAGACATTCATATATTTTCAGATGTTCTGTTCTGAATGGGTGGGGAGGAAGTTGCAAGTGCTAGCTGTGCAGTCACATGTAGTAACTGGCCGCGACACTGATGGGCAGATGCCAATCTTTTAGAAAATGTGTGTGATATATATAACAAAAATATTAAATGCCATTTACACTGAATTGCATTTCATGACTTAATTAGCATATATTACTGTTATTTATTTATTTATTTATTTATTTAGTTAGTTAGTTAGTTAGTTAGTTATTTAGTTATTTAGTTATTTAGTTATTTAGTTAGTTAGTTAGTTAGTTAGTTACTGTAGTTAGTTATACCTCCCATCTAATCGCCAAGGCCACTCTGGGCAGTTTACAAAAGCAGTCATAAAAGCAATAACCTAAAATCCAGAAATAATCAATAATAGTCAAACAAAATATAAGAGCAACTAAAACAAATACCTCCCATCTAATTGGCATGGCCACTCTGGGCAGTTTACAAAAGCAGTAATAAAAGCAATAACATAAAAACCAGAAATAATCAATAATAGTCAAACATAATATAAGAGCAAATAAAACAAATTACACTGAGAAATAATGCAATATGTTATATGTTTGTGAAACAGTAAAAATGAACCAGTAAAGATTATAACTACGGATCCATTGGTATATTGCAAAGATCTGTCACATGTCTACACTTCCTACAAACTGTATTTCATAATGCCATTGATCTGTACTTGAGGAAATGAATGTGCATGTAAATACAACATTTCTTAAAAATTATTGCAACCCTGAAATATATGAACAGTTCTGCTGAAATAACATTATTTTCCATATAAATATGTCCTCAACATGACCTATCTGCATAATGATGATCACTGACTTTTACAGCTTGTAAACAAAGCCTCTGCAATAGACACAATCAATACTGCTCATGTTTAAGGTTGTGTTGCCAAATTGACTAGGAGAAAACCAATTTTGTGTCTCAAATGAGTACAACCTCTAGGTAATTTTCCTTGCTCAAACTGTCTGTGCCCAAAAGAGAAGTGACATAATTTTGAGAAATGTGAAGTAGGAGCTCACACATCTTGCAGATCTTGTAAGTGATAAAAATCTATAAACAGCAGAAACAGTCTGGGTCACAATTACAAGGGTGAGATTATCTTTGAACCTCTGCTTCATATATGGCAAAAGAAAAGACAAAGCAGACAAAATTATGAGGCTGTATCCAACATATCTTCTGCCACTGGAACAGGTACCAAGAATGGTTTGAGAATCCCAGCACTACCCAAAATCTGTGCTGCAGAATTGGGGGAACAGTCCAGGGCATATTCAGGAAACAATTACTCAGGAGATGTGCTTAGCAGTGACAGTAGTTATACCACAAGCTTGTTCTTTTTTTCTCAAAGGATCTGGGCAGTGTGTGCACTGTCAATGCAAAGGGTAGCCGAAGCTACTAGATTAGAAATCTGGTCACCAATGGCCTTCACCTACTCTCACTTAAGAGTGCTGTGATAGGAGAGGCTGGAAGACAGTCATCAAAAGAAATAGTAGAGTAAATCTGGAGATAATTCTGCAAAGTGGCCTTATATTTCTACAGAAGTAAGAAAAAGAAAAATCTCAGCAAATTCTCTTCTGAGAAATTTTGACTTAACGCTTTCTGTCATTATACAGTACAGCACCTTCCTCAGGTCTTCCAAACATTACATTAGTGGGCTCACTGTAGGTACATATTGATATATATTGTAGATATAGCATTGGTACTATAGATGCTTATAACACAACTCCATCTCTGCATTCCATGAGTGGCTGCATTTGTTTTTCCTTTCTATTATGGATTTCTTCATCACTCTGCAGCATCCTTAGCTGCCCCTGCTTCCTGATTTGAAAAAACCCTATGGAAAGAATTACCTCATGACATCAGGCAGCAGAAACGCTATCTGCCGTTCCAGCAGCAACCACCATTGTACCCTTACCAAGCTTGATTGTGCAAGCTAGAAACCAGAAATTTATAGCAATGCACTAATTTATTCAAATATATTATAATTACTTATTTATTATTGAAATGAATTAATGTATGCAAATACTTTAATTAATCAATTAACTATCCATTTATGTAATCCTCCAAGTAACACTACTAAAACCCAATAACTTAATATGAGATTATAAGTAATACTAAATTAATTTAAGCAATGATACCTACAGACTAAGAAATATTTAAATTATTATTTAATCAAATAAAGTTCTAATTATGCACAATCAAATCTGAAAAATGAGTAACCAATTAATTCAAAGTTTATCAATTAATTATTGAAGAGAAGCCTAAAATCTAAAAAGTTGAAACCAGTGTATTAATTATGTAATGGGAATGGCTGATAATATAAAAAATGGATGCCTCCCTATATATGCGCGCTGGCCCTAACGGCCAATCATGTGGTGAAATTCAAAATTCTGATTGCCATCTGAGTCTGGAAGCTCTGTCTCTCAGAAGTAGAAATGGGGGAGGGAGCAAAGTGCCAAGCCTCTAAAAAGCCAAGCGGCTAAGTCATAAACTGCCTCTTAACGAAAAAGCCCCGATCAACAGGGTATTATTAAACCAGCTCAATTTATTGCCCGATAGCTGATTATTTTTTATTATTATTATTATTTAATCCCCTTGTTTGTATTTAACAATTATAACCATCACTCTATCCAATAACCCCACTCCCGGGATGCTAAAATCAAAGGGTAAAATCTGATTGCACGGGAGCGTGGTCTGTGCAGTGGCACCCCTCTTGGTCTGATGCCTAGTCGAATCAATAAAAATTAAATGAGTCCTATTAAATTGATTCAGGAACTAAAGCTGCTTAAAATAATCAAAGAACAAGATCAATCAAACCACGGGAGGGAGCCAATGCTACCCTCCCAACCCCAAATTTGCAATGCAAAGACCGCCAATCCGCAACACAGCTTGAGCGATATCGAGAAGCTGTACTCTATCCTGCACCGTGCCAGTGAAGGAAGAGGAAGATGAGGGGGGGATGGCCCTTAAATAATGTAACATTTCCCCCCTCTCCCACTGGATTGCTCACATGAAGACTACAAGGTCTTGCTGCCTCTGGGGAAGAAGGCAAAGATGAGCCACGCTGCTGAAGCATTGCTCAGCTGTGGCTCAACCATTCTCAAATGTTCAGAGTTTCCCCCAAATATACTATATTTTCCGTATTTCACTTCATAAATGAATAGTTTGTGTTTGTTATGAGGAGTTAAACTTATAATTTTTTTCATAATAGAAATGTAAGATACCAGATTTTAATTAAACCACTGAACACTGTCTTCCATAGATCTGAAACAAATGTGTGGTTTTGGACTATTTATAGATACATTGCTATAAACCATTATTTTCATTTAGAGATAAATGAGAGGAAATCAAATTGTCTGTAAAATTAGTCTGTAACAGAATAAGTTGACATATATAATTAGTTTCACAATAGTGGGGGGTATTCATTTTTCAAATATAACATTGTGCTTTCTTTGTAGACAAAAATTTATAATAAGATAATGAGGCTGTCCACTTCCAACATGTCTATGGGAGAAATGACGGCAGGTCAGATTTGTAACCTGGTTGCAATAGATACAAACCAGCTAATGTGGTTCTTCTTCCTTTGCCCTAACCTTTGGGCTATGCCAGTACAGGTAAGGATCTGAAAGTGATTTTGTCCCATGGGAACAGAGGTGAATTTGAAGGGCTTTTATGCTGTTGTAAATATCTCTCAAGGGGTCAGAATGTGCACAACATATGAGGAGCTTTTGTTCACTTGTTTAACAATACCCACATGTCAATTATTTTGTTGTTTAGAAATTGCAAATCTGTGGAAAAGTAGAAAGAAATAGAACTTTTTTATGATTATTACTGAAGATAATTTAAGACTAAAATGAAGCTGTCCTAGGTGCTCTTACTTTGTAGCCATGCTGGTTAGGAAAGTATGAAGAGGAGACATTAGGATCAGACAGGACCTAATGAATACATTGTCTTACCTGGAACAGAGGTCTGATACTCAACACACACAAACACACATACTGAATCATATAGATTCTTGTTTCTCCCTTTCTGCCATTCCTGACACATAGCTTCCATTTCCATTATATTTGGCACATAGTTTTGCATCCAGAAAATAACTTTCAAGGCACTTTTGACAGGTTTAGGGATGTCAAGAAACAGTTCCTTGCAGAATTCTCTGAGTACTTTTCCAAGTATGGTTTTTTAAAATATAAGAGTCATGTAGAAGAAGAATGTATACAGTATTTTCAATGAAAGAACATACTCAGTGGCTCAGGTTCACAAATATTCAAGGAAAGAAACTTTCCTTCAGTTACAGAACACAATTGTGACAATACATTTGTTTTATAAACATCTTCATCATAGATGCTTCAATGATCTCAGATTCTAATGGAAGTGTAGTAATTAGAGATGGGGGTATTAATATTTGTAGACAAATGTAAATATCCCCACACAGCTGGACTTAACAAGGGTCCACCCCCCTGGGGCTGGACTGTCCACTCATGCTTCTGACGGCGGCAGCCTCGCTCATTCTTCCAATCACTCCCGGAGCACCGTTCTCTTCCCGCTCAGCTGGCCCTTTGGCAGCCATGCAGAGAGACTCATCCTCCCTCCCCTTGCCTGGAGTGGCCAGCTGAGCAGGAAGATAGTGGCACTCCAGGAGTGATTCAAAGGATGAGCAAGGCTGCTGCCACCAACAGAAGCGTGAGTGGATGTTTTGGCCCCAGGGGGCGGATCCCCGTTAACTCCAGATGAGCGGTATATTCATATTCATATACGAACACAAATACCTCCATACCTAGTACAGTGGTGCCTCGCTTAACGGGCGCCCCATTTAACGACGAATCCGCATAGCGGTTAAGATTTTGCGATCGCTTTTGAGATCGCATTGCAATGTTCCCTATGGGGAAAAATCACTTTGCGATAATCACAGGGAAGCGATCATCGCAAACGCCCCATTTTCGCACAGCTGATCGGCGGGGCTTCATCGGGGGAAGTGCCCCAATCATCCCGAAGCTCCGCCGATCAGCTGGGTGAAAATGCGGGCTTTGGGATGATGGGGGGAACAGCTGGGCGAAAATGATGGGGGGAAGCGCTTCCCCCATCATCCTGAAGCCCCACCGATCAGCTGTGTGAAAACGGGGCGTTTGCGATGATCGCGCGGAAGCAATCACTGCAACCCCCCCATTTTCGCACAGCTGATCGGCAGTTCCAAAATGGCCGTCGCTGTTTTGCCTCGCTTTAGAGGCACCGAAAATGGCCGCCTCTATGGAGGATCTTCGCTTAAGGTCTGTTTTTAAGCCCATAGGAACGCATTAAACACGTTTTAATGCGTTTCTATGGGCTTTTAAAAATCACTTAGCGACGAAATCCCTTAACAACGTTTTTCCTGGAATGGATTAACGTCGCTAAGCGAGGCACCACTGTAGTAATATAATTAATTTTAAAAGGAAGTTAGGCAGTGATCATTAGGCAGTGTTAGATCCAGGCTTAGTCAATGAGAAGACTTGGTGAAATTAATGAGACAAATTAATGGTTGTTGTAGGTTTTTTGGGCTGTTTGGCCATGCTCCCGAACACAGCCAAACAGCCCAAAAAACCTACAACATCCATCGGATCCATACCATGAAACCCTTCGAGAATATAGATAAGTTAATCATAATCAACTGTAAGTATGACTAAATCTGGATCAAACTTGCAGCCTTTTACATGATTATTACCCTTCTATAATTTTCAGTTGCTTACTTGTTGCTTGCAAATAACATTTCGGCTTCATGTAGACACTGAATTATTATGGATAAATAATCATGTAGTAAAAAGCATAAATGGTATTTCATACTTAATTAGAATTATAAATAAACAAGGAGTTTACTGGAATGTGAAATATTTTAATTTTTTTCAACTGGGTGGGGGATTCTGGGAGTTGTAGTCCATAGGAGTAACTTTTTTAAACTAAAAAGGCCTTAAATAAATAAGTAAACAAGCAAATAACTCCAAAGCCATGGCCTTTGATGTAGTGTACTAGGTAAGAAAGAATAATTAGCAAATATCTTTGGTGAACAGCAACCAAGAGGTATGATACTTCCTATACTTTTGCCAATGGGAGGGACAAAGGAGGAGGAAAATGTGAATTACAGCTATAATTTACAAATACTATCCAGTGTAGGTTGCTCAAACCCTCACCTGCCTTACTATTGTTGGCCACTCTGTTACACCACCATGTTGCATTTCTCATAAGCATTTAAGGGCTCCCTTCCCTCACTCTTGGATATTGCTCAATAGCAACAGCTTCTTTCTAGCGACGGCCTCTCCTGATTATATTGATTCATTCATATTCTTAACAGCACTTCTTCCCATTCTGAAGTGCTATTTACAATAAGCAAACATGCCATTATGTCACAAAGATCTGAGAGTTATTTGTGATTTTGAGAAAGATATGGGAGTAATTAATTGCTAGGGTTCTTATCATTTTATTCCAGGGAACCTACTTAGCATTTGACTTCTAATCATTCTTTACTGTGTACTGGCTAAAAAAAAAAATTCCTCTCCTGTCTCTGCTCTCTGTGCTAGATTATTGTAGGAATCCTTCTCCTGTACTATCTGCATGGAATCAGTGCCTTAATTGGAGCTGCGGTGATCATAGTGCTTGCACCTGTTCAGTACTTTGTTGCCACAAAACTTTCACAAGCTCAGAGAAGCACATTGGTAAGTTTTTCAGGTATTTCCAATTAACATGTTACTATGTATTCATCTAGTATCACAACTAGAGATGAGGGTATTCTTATTTGTACACGAATACAAGTATCCCCACACAGCGGACTTAACAAGGGTCTGGCCCCTGGAGCCAAACCATCCAATCATGCTCATCCTTCCAATCACTCCTGGAGAGCGCTCTGGAGCCGGACCATCCAATCATGCATCCTCTGGTGATGGTAGCCTTGCTCATCCTTCCAATCACTCCTGGAGAGCCACTGTCTTCCCAGTTGGCTAGCTACTCGGCAGCCGTGCAGGGGGACCCGTCCTCCCTCCCCCTGCCTGGAGTGGCTAGCCAAGTAGGAAGAGATTAGCACTCCAGGAGTGATTGGAAGGATGAGTGAGGCCACTGCTACCACTGGACATGTGAGTGGATGGTCCAGCCCCAGGGGCCATCGCCTTGTTAAGTCCCACTGCATGGGGATATTTGTATTTGTAGAGCCATCCCCTTGTTATGTCCCACTGCATGGGGATATTTGTATTTGTATACAAATACCCCCATCTCCAATCACAACCAGAGACTCCAATTTTATTATTGTGCCTTTCTTTTAGTCTTGTTTTGTTAAAGCTGATTTGTTTCATTTACACAACAATTATGTGTTTGCTCAAAATAAATTATTTATTAATGTAACCTTCCACTAGTTAAGAGGTACGGAATTCTATCTGTATAGATATCCAGCAGTGTTTTCAAGAAATCTACTTACACAATAAGAAAAAAATAAGCTAAGAATATGTAATTTTCCTCTTTATTCTCTGAACCAGACGAAAAATGCAGCCGCCTATGACTGCAAAAGCAAAACTAACAAAAGATGCAGGAATTTTCTCTTTGGGTGTATTTAGCTAAAGCATTTATCTTGGAAGTAGAAATTCCAGCATCAAATCCTCACTGTACTACGAAACATGAAATTTACCAGCAAAGGAATTAAACAAGGTGAAGGATTATTGTGTGGTTGTTGTGGGGTTTTCGGGCTCTTTGGCTGTGTTCTGAAGTTTGTTCTTCCTTACGTTTCGCCAGTCTCTGTGGCCGGCATCTTCAGAGGACAGCACTCTGTGCTCTGCTCATACTGTGTGGTTTCCAATCTTGGGTCCCCAGCTGTTCTTGAACTACATCTCCCAGATATCCTAGTTAGCACAGGTGAAGCCTTTTGGGAGTTGTAGTCCAAGAACCTCTGAGGACCCAATGTTGGGAACCACTGGATTAATATCCTTTACTGGACTTTGGTGGTCATAATCATTTGTGCCTAATACAAAAGAGATGCTAAGGAAGAAATAGCAGCCAATGTATTCCACAACACCAGCAGTTGTTTCAAGGGAACCCTAATTTAAGTCTTAATGAAACTTTACAGTCCAACAAAATTCTTCCCTAGAATTTTGTCTGCTGAGCAGTACCAAACATTTATTGGTGGCATGAAGTTGGAGCAGCATATCTACAATCCATCTGATCCCTTCTATTCAGAAAGAGCATTGCTGCTCAGAATCCCCCTTGCCACTGTCATGTTTGAGCTAATTAACATTTCAAACTGTGATCCTCAGTATAACATGCACAGACATTTTTGTAGTAAATGTTGAGAAGACTTTGGCCACAGTTTGCTGGGAGTAGAATTAGTAAATGGGGAATTCAAATTTGAGTTGAAGTTCCAAATATGGGCTAGAAGTTTCTCACTTCAGTAGCCAATTTACATTACCATGTATTTTTTAATGACAGTATAAGTTTTAGTCTCACAATTATATGAATTTATTTTTGGGTCAATCGCACAGGAATATTCCAATGAGAGACTAAAGAAAACAAATGAAATGCTTCGAGGCATAAAACTTCTTAAGCTCTATGCCTGGGAACACATCTTTCATAGCAGTGTGGAGGAAACACGCCAAAAGGAAATGACTAGTTTAAGGGCCTTTGCTCTCTATACCTCCATATCAAGTAAGTAACTGCTTCCTATTGACTTCTTGATTGATTTGGGGAATATATAGCTACTAATGTGTTTCCAAGCTTTCAGTTTGTGTAGGTGCTGCAGAGGAGTGACCATAAAGAGACCTGCTGATAAGGGCTCCAGGACAGTATTTGCCTTTGCATGTATCTGTTTTTTGAAAAGCATCCAGTACATATAAGTCAGTTGTAAGGTCCAGAGAAATCAGGTTATAAAACTGCAGTCTTAAAATTCAAGATATAAAGCTTAATCAGTTAAATTAGATTCACTGAATTAGAGGAATGTTTGTAGGTCTTGCTTTACCAAATTCTAATTATTCTCACTGATTCTTTAGTTGGATTTAAGCTGTAGAATTGATAGATAGTGTACAAGTCTGATGGATGTAGGGTGGTTTTCAGCTAGAAACTGTTTCAAGGCAAGAGTGGGGGAAATTGTTTGCATAAATTCCTTCAGAATTGTGGTTAAGGAATGATAAAAATGTTTGTAATAAATAAAATGTGAACTTCACTAAAATCAGTGGAAGGGGAAAGTTTCCATCTTTTATAATTTCTATTTTAGTGACCAAAAAAAGGAGTGAAGATGGACTTAGTGGCCTTGAGGTCAAAACCCCTTTTCAGACAATCTGAGAGTGTCAGTGATTGTACTTGGCAGTAAGCATGATAACAGAAGCAGATCATTTCCCACCCTATGTTGGTCCCTTTTAGGGGTTTTATACATGGAATCTGTACGTATATGTATTACAGGCCTTTCATCACAACCGACTCCTGATCACCATCTTAAATTATGTACAAAATATGTTTTATTTATATAATGCTAGATTTTAAGTTGAGTATAGCAGCATGAAGTTGCAGGATACCTTATGCCCGAACTGTAAATACATTTCCTCCTGCCTTAAGCCAAGACCATTTTATTTATTTAATGTTGTTTGCTATCTAAACTGAGACAGTTTGGAAGCACTGGCAGGGGATGCAGACTGACTTTACACCAGTTCAAAAGCTAATACAATGCAGAGACACACATATCTTTTAAAGATATAAATAAGGTGTTAGATATACATTTTATTTAATTTATAAATTAATTTATATATTTATTAAATTGAATTAAATATAAATTGTGGTACATCACCTGCATGAACTTTACATTGATATTCCAGATCTAAAAGTGATAACTAAGTATGGAAGAAGCTCAAGTGTTAAAAGAATGAATGTAAAAGCTAGGAACATTTACTCATATACAAGTCATTGGTTTGTGTTTCCTGGCAAACCTCTGAGGGTGAAGTTAACGTTTAAAGCGAGTTCAGTTGTCTAAGGCTGAAGGCTGAAAATTCCTTCTGAGACAGTTTTTTTAAAGTAGCCATATTAATCTGTGCAAGTATATCAGGCAAAAGAAAAATTGAAGCAGATAATTTAAGAAAAACAAACAAAAATGTAGTGGTAAAAGCAAAAAAGCAAAGCGTGCTGCTTATATACCGTCCCATAGCGCTTCAAGCACTCTCTGGGCGGTTTACAATTTAATTATGCAGGCTACACATTGCCCCCCCAGCGAGCTGGGTACTCATTTTACTGACCTCGGAAGGATAGAAGGCTGAGTCAACCTTGAGTCGGCTACCTGGGATTTGAACCCCAGGTCGTGAGCACAGTACCTTTATGACTAACTGTAATATTTCAAAGTGAGCCTCCATGGCTCCAGCATCTGAAGCACTGGATTTGAATCACAAAGACTCCCACTGAAATATTGCAGTTAGTCTTTTAAAATGCCACAATGTTTTTGTTATTTTATTTTCACTTTTTTCTGATACCCTTCTGCAATGCAATACTTAAATGTTTGTCCTCATATTCCAGACTCAAAAAAATACTTTATGCATGACAACTGCCTTCTTCAGGACTATGCTGAGTTAACTTATGACTTTCACCTTGTACCCAATACATCTGGATCAATTCATGTAATATAGGGATGGAAAAATAGCTATGACAGGATAGCTTGTACAAAACCAAAGATAATAAATAATGTTTGTCAGGGAAATTCTCGCGGAATTACGTTTTTCCGTAGTTTCATCAGAGTATATGGCGGTCTAGGCAGTCCAGCAATAAAGACACGTAGTCCGGCAGCATTTCGCGCAGCAAAATGTATTTACAGCAGCAGCATAACAGGCATATGTGATCTCCAACCCAGTGAAGATAATACTGACTGTACAAGTCTACATATATATATTTCACTAACCAATCACAATATAGATTACATCACTGCATTACTTCATCTTGGGTTACATCATTCTGGGTTGCATCATCCTTGCTGAGTCACCCTGACTCATTCCCAGCACACCTGACAGACATGGATGCTCATTAACAGCATTTGATTCTGGTCAGGCCTATAATTTATCCTTGACAATGTTTGATCTGACCCTCCAGTTGCAACTTAAAGAATACTTCACAGGTCTCTTCCATCCAATCTGGATAAGGGCACAGTGGCTATTTTCTGCTTGAGTGTATGACAGCTCTAAATTTGTGACAAGCTGGATGAAGCAATTGTCACGATATATTGTGCTACCAAATTATGTGCATATTCCCTAAACAAATCACTCTTCCAAAACAAATTTTAAATGTTACTATATTTCACAAGTGTAACATTTGGTCTTTAGAATAAATGCAGAATATAAATTAAATTAATAGATGTTAAGAGGACACATACGGATTTTACACTAATTATCCAAAGAAAGGTAGTATGTTGTCCAAATTTGTGTATTAGTCAGCTGAGGTTAATAAATATAGATAAAGGAAAAGGCTGTGGGAATGTTTTCAAGATTTGGCAGCATTTGGGGCATTAACCTCACTCTTTAATGCTGGAAAGCTGCTTGTGTTTTTGTTAATTCTTACGAGATCTTATTTTATCTTTCTAAATGCTCATTATGAAAGAGACATCTTGACGTCTGTAGTATATTGACCCATAAAAATGTACAAAAAAGCCAATACGTCACAACTACATAAACTTTGCAGACTTTTCATTATGGGTGCCTGAGAAATCAAAATATATTTTTAAATTATTCAAAACAAATGAATGTTTAATTGTTACTTTTAACTGAAACATTTTAGAATGTGTCTAAGCAATCTGTGAAGGAACAATTAATTTATTTTCTTATTTTAAATAATGATCGGTAGGCAATTACAGTTTATAGAAAGCATTTTCTCTCCTATTATGTCAGCTGGTGGTGGTACCTTTCTGGGCCCAATTCAGTGTCCTAATTTATGAATCAGTGGCTGAAATTATCGGAGTTTACAACCTCATATTCTACCTTCTGCTTTGTTTGACTGGGAGGGACCTTTATATGCTGGGAGTAGCTGTCAATTTGTCCAGCATTAACCAATAGCTCTCTCCTGTGTGTCAGAATTCTGAGCAGGTCCCCTCTATGCTGAAAGAGTCTCTTTTTTTTGCTCAAAGAGTCTGTTAATGTCTGTTGATGATGGGTGGTAGAAAAATGTCTGTAAAAAGTATATTGAAGAAGAGTTGTTTAAAAGCAGCCATGTCACTAGTTTGTTTGTTGTAAACATATTCACATCAGTAAGTAAATGGAACATTTTTTATTCTTTATACTAATGCCTCAGAGTGAAATAGCTTGGTCATCAACAGATATTGATACTTACTAGTAATACTTTTCAGAAGGCATTTGGAAAGATCTGCAATCTCTTGGGCAATTTAGTGCCTTTGTCTAATTGTTAAATTTGTCATTATTCATTTAGCACTATGCCATCACATTTAGCCTTGCACTAACCTCATTATGGCATAATTATTAGAGACATTTCTAAGTAAAGAACCAGCAAATGTCTTCAATGTATGATCCTATTTTACCCTTAGGATTTTTTGAAGGACAATATATATATATATATTATGAACTATTAAAGTTCATCTCATACTCACTTAAGAGTGAGGCTTTATTCTGAGGCTTCAATTTCCTGAGGCTTTTGTTTGAATAAATATGACTAATCATGGGTAGGATAGCACTGATAATAATTATTATTACTTTACAATTATTTACAGTGTTATCATTTTACTTGTTTTGTTATTATTACTGAAATCTAGTAGTAAGCTGCAACTAGAGTAAGTACATTGAATCAATAGAACATACGTAAGTAGTGACTCATCATCCCCACTGATTTAATTGGCCTAATCTACTTCAGACATTACTGAATTTTGAATCAATAGAACATAAGTAAGTAGTGACTCATCAAATCCCCACTGATTTAATCAGCCTAATCTACTTCAGACATTACTGAATTTCAATCATTTATTACATATTTAGTTGTTATCACCATCATTGTCATCATGATTGTTAATTGTTACACAGTTTGCCCTGAAGCCCAGCTGGAGTAGAACCATTGAGTTAATGTACACATTAATTCACCATTCAGTAATTAGTTCAGTGAGGTCACTGTAGCTGGGATTCGCAACTGGATTTCAGCCTGTCTTTGTATACTCAAATGCCTTTGAGATATAACCCAAGAAATGGCCGGTTTCCTACTAAATGCTAGCATGAGTTAGGTTAAAAGAGAACTTAAGACATTTCTTTCTGAAACATTACAAAATAACAGTAAAATAAGCCAAATTTATACTATTCACATATACAGAACTACACATGTGGAACTCTCTTATATGAAACTGAAATACAGCTCAAATTTAATATCTGAGGTGAGTTCACCTGTCTAAGGCTAAAGGCTGAAAATTCTTTTTGTGACAGTTTTCAAAAAAAGTAGTCAAATTAAACTGGACAGATATATCAGACAAAAAGAAAAAGAGTTGACTGAGCGCAGCTCTGCAGAGTACCAGGCATGAATTCTTTCCCATCTTACCTGGAATTACCAGGGGCTGAACCTGGGAATATTTGCATGAAATCTTTCCAACAATTTCTTATCCATTTTATGGACCCTATTGGTAGCTAAATTTACTAAATTTAAAAAATATTTCCAAGTTATGTTCAGCTATTGCAACAAGATTACACGTGAACCAAGAAGTCAAATGATTAGGTATATATCCTACTGCTGAGATTAAAAGGGCAGCTTGACGGAAGGCAACTCCTTGTTCAAAACAGCAAGAAGTTTCAGTGGTGCTTATATAGGGATAATTACCCACATTAGGGTGCATAATTTATGTCAACAATCAATTTGAAGATGAACCCAGGGTAAGAAAAAAAGATATTCCCCTGTCCATTCTAATCCCTAGCCATCTGTGAATAAGAACCTCTAGATTCTATGGTATTTGCTATGACATGGCAAGAAAACCAGCAAATCTAGGATACAGAGTGTATTTCTAGGAAAAGTGCTACTTTTAATTTTTTTTTACTATTATTTCTCAATATTATAGTACTGCCAGGTTATCCAAGCTGAAGAGTGTCGATTTTAAAAAGCCATAGCATTTGTGTGAAACAGCAGGTAATCTAGATAGGTGACATGGAATTAGAGGGGGAAATGGAAAGTAACTGTTAATTACATTAAAATAAGATTTATGGTGGCAGATAAGACCTTACAACCAAAGATAAGCTTACAGCCAATATACATTGGGAAAAATTGGGGAAAAACATGTATCTGTTTTCTTTACAGTTTTCATGAATGCAGCAATACCTATTGCAGCTGTTCTAATAGTAAGTACTAACTATGAAAGTTCTGCCCCCGCAAAAAACCTCTACATTGCAACCATAGTGTGTGATTACACAGCCAAGTGTCTCAAAACCTTTTGTCAATAGCAAATGTATAATTCTGTTTTTGCTTGTTTTAAATGGTATTATATTGGATCTACACTTGCACTCAGTGGAGTTTTTTTTTTCCTCACTGTAGCAAGTAAGTGGGACAGCAATTTATTCTGAACTCTCATCTCCCTACAGCTTTTCCCCAACCTGCCCCAGCAAGCTGATTCTAGAGGCCAAGGAATTGTCCAGACCACTGGTGGACATGGTGCTGTGGACTGTAGGGCAGAGGTTCTTAACCTTTGTTACTCGGATCCAAGGAATTGTCCAGACCACTGGAGGACATGGTGCTGTGGACTGTAGAGGGGAAGAGAGAAGTTGCCAAAAAATCTCTGTTCAAAATCAGTGTCCTGCACTACTCCTGCAGGACACTGATTTTGAACAGAGATTTTTGAACCAAGATCAGTGCAGAAATACAAATCACAACTCCTGCAGGAGTAGTAATTTGTATTTCTGCACTGAACAGGGGGTTGGACTTGATGGCCTTATAGGCCCCTTCCAACTTCATGATTCTATGATTCTGAAAAGCTTCCACTGGTTCCTGGTTCCCTCTGTGATATCTGTAGCCAATATGAAATCATGATAAAATAATCATTTCACTTGGTGGTAATATGAGGCAGACAACTGTATTTCTGCTCAGCCTATTCCATCCACCAGAATCAGAGATAACTCCCTTCAGGCCATTTGAATAGGTGTCACACAAAATAATTATAATGTTTGAACTGAATTAATCTTAGAGAGCTAAATTATAGGTGAGATTGATTTAACATACTTTAATATTCTTATTGATTCTTACAGTATTTTCTAGTACATTTGTACTTAAATGTAGCCATAGCTGTGACAGTGCAATTTTCAGAATATGTTTCTGTTGTCCCAAGGGCATTCTGTGCAAGGCAAACTACAACAGAACTCTACCTTCTTTTGTTCTGCTTGTACATTTTGGGAAAGAATGTCATCTGCTCTTGTTGTATAACCTGACAGAGTGATGACAGAGTAAAACCAGAGCAGCTAGCAAGTTACTTAAAAACTCTGCAAAGTTATCTCTAGGCAAGAAGTTTTTCTTCTTCTGGTTACTTTCTGATTCATTCTCTTCTACAGCACACAGACCTCTAGAGAACCTAAGGATTTAGTAGTCCGCTCCCATCAATACCTTCCATTGGGCAACATCTTATTGGTACATGGAAATGCTACTCTACTGAGGCATTTTTGAGAACAAATTTGTTCACATGTTCCATCCAGAAATACCTCTTCTATAGCATTATTCTACAGTACTTTGAGGTTTCAGAAGGGTATCAGTGCTGCCTGTTGTTGTTTTTTCTTCTTTTGCACGTTTTTTAAAAAATTTATGCAAAGTGAACAAATTGTTATTTAATTCTTGTATTTATAGCTGATTGTTAAATACATATATAAACACAGCCAGAAAGAGTTTACAGTGCCTAGTTGCATAGTATTTCCTGGTGAATACTGGTTATTTTGAAATGCAGTGAAACAGTTGACTGAAACAGTTTCTTCTTGCTTTTTTTTAAAAAAAATAAGACATTTGTCGTCCACGCCCATCTATTTGAAAATGCTGACTTTTCTCCTTCCGTGGCCTTTGCTTCACTCTCCCTCTTCCACATCCTTGTCACTCCCCTGTTCCTGCTCTCCAGTGTAGTTCGATCTACAGTCAAAGCTCTTGTAAGGTAAGGTTTCCTGGCTGGGTGAAATAATTCAAAAATTGTGAAATCTACACCGATTTAAGTAGTACAGATTAGATTAATATTATGTTAGAGAGTATAAGACAAGATGAAATGAATGGAACATATTGTAATCACTCTGGTTGCAACTGATAGAAAAATAGAAAAATACAATAACATTTTTATTTAAAAAATAAATAAATAATTCAAAAAATGGGAATGCTCCGCTTTAAATTTGTAGCTCCTTGCTGCAGTGGTTAACAGCTGGAGTACATTTGTTTTTGCATCCAAGAATGGTATCATTGAGGTGAATTTCCCATCCTTTTAAACCTCAGGCAGGGAGGCAGTTCCACAAATAAGGAACTATGTCTCACATTCCTGCCAGTCTGATGGAACTTCTCAATGAGTTTATAAACAGGGACTGCAAAATTCATCTCAGCCTCATTTAAAGATTTTTGAAGGTAATAACAAGCATTCTGAATTGGCCTTAGAATATGATAATAACTGTAACAAGAAGTGACTTGATGCTCTAACTGTTAAATGTCCCATCAAGTTGCTTCCAACTTATAGAATTTTTGAGATATGTGAGATGTTATAGGAGTGGCTTCCCATTGTCATTCCTCTAGTGAGTTTTCACAGCCAACCAGACATTTGAACTCAAATCTAGTCCAAAATTCTGCCCACTGCACCACAGTGGCTTTCAATCCCCAAAAGGGTAGCACATGTTTTCACTAAATGAACTGGAGACATATGTACCAATAAATTATTTGGGCTTCAAACCAATCAAGTGAAATCTACAACTTCCATGGGGACTGAACAACAGAGGGTTCCTGTGGGATATCTGTTGAGAGCCCTGCTGTCAAAGCGGGCATTGTGTGCAATTTGTTTTAGTTTGCTAGTTTCTTCCTCTTTCTACAGTGTTCAGAAATTAAGTGAATTTCTTTCAAGTGAAGAAATTGGAGAGGAGCATGACAGATGTTCAGAACCAAGACATGAAGACAACCACAATAAATACCAGGCACTTGTAAGTATTACTATTGTACTACATGCCAAATGGGTGATCTGTTTCCTCTTCTTTAATCCTTGTGAACCACTCCAATAACCTGTCAGTTCCCTTATAATTAACAATTATAGCAGCAAAAGTTTTTAATATTCCTGTTTATTTATTAAAGACTGTACATTGCCTGGTTGGTTTGTTGGTTTGTTTGTTCGTTTGTTTAAGGCCAATGATGTTTGGTGATGCAGATTACTGGAAGAAACTTCTATCTGACACTGTGCAGCAATCAAGAAAAGATTATAAATTCCCTTCCTTCTCAGAAATTGCTGGGAGGCAGTATGGGAAGTGAGATACATCTCAGTCACCATGCAAGCATTGCTGATTACTGTGGAGCCTTTGTTCAGGTGCTATTGTGAATTTCAGTAGAATTTCCAAATCTTTGAGCAAGGCTGACTGAGACATCCCTTCTCTCCATGGCTGTTTCCCAACCATTTCTGATAGAGATGGGTTTTTCATCTCATCTTTTCTTGGTTTGCAGGAGCGACGAGAATGATTCCTATTACAAACCAACTAATTGTTCATTGTTTAACCCTTGTGTCACTACTCACCATACATTTCTGTCTTCCTGGTCTTGCACAGCCCCTCAGAGTTGTTAACCGTAAAAGGCCTGCCAGAGAAGATTGCAACAATTGCAACTCTCCTAGGAGAAGACCTCTTAAATTCACAGAAGCAGATGATTATTGTGTAAAGGTGATAATAAGATCACGCTTTCTAATAATGTTTTTACTAATAAGTTGGAGCCATTGTGCTGAGTTCAGTATTGCCTGAAGCCCCCTATTTGCATTGCAGAATTTCTGCCAAGTAATTATTTCTCATTTAAGAATTTTGATAGTTCTTTATGTCTGGAAGATGGAGTGAATTGGTAACACAGTTATCAGACTGTGTAGGGCAAAGTCTCTTTGAAGAGGAGAAACACAGACTCACTCTTCACAGATACTCCTATCCAGCCTAGTTTTCTTCATATTTCAGGGCATGTATTTCTATCAAGACAAAGTAAACAGAATGCAAATTCTGAAATCTCTTGTTGTATTGCCTCTATTAATGCTAGCCAGGGAGTCCTCAGGATCTAGAATGAAATTTCCAGACATTGCTATAAATGAAGAGCTGGCTTTTCTTTGCTTGCACCGAGTGATCTAGGGCACTGGTTCTTAACCTTTGTTTCTCAGGTGTTTTTGGACTGCAACTCCCAGAAGCCTTCACCATCAGCTCTTCTGGCTAGGGTTTCTGGGAGTTGCAGTTCAAAAACACCTGAGTAATAAAGGTTAAGAACCACTGATCTAGGGCAGTGTTCTCCAACCTTGGCCCTCCAGATGTTGTTGGACTTCAACTCCCAGAAATCCTGGCCAGCAGAAGTGGTGGTGAAGGCTTATGAGAGTTGTAGTCCAAGAACATCTGGAGGCCCAAGGTTGGGGACCACTGATCTAGGGGACAGTTTAAAGAGCTACTATCTTCACCACCACCTACAATACATGGCTTTTCACTTACTAACCTCCATTCCGGTGTTGTATTTAGTCTCTTCTATGCGTTATGTATAAAGAATAACAATGCATGTTTTTTGGTAAGCTTCGAATTCCTTTCTCCAATAGCTTGCCAGGACAGTTGTCAAAAAAAAACCCACCACCCCACCTTGTTTTACCCAAATTGAAATATAGTTGCTGGATATAAGTACAGAATTCCTTTAACTGTGTGCAGACATTGGGATAAATTTTAAAAATGAATCATGATATTCATGAAATATTACTGATTTGTGGGATATTCATCCCTTCATGTTCATGAGGTCTGGAGACTCTGATAAACACAGAGGAACAAATATTTCCCCCTTTTTATTTGTCCCTTTGTGGAGCCTGGGTGCCGGAATGGAAACGGGGTTTGCCTTCCTGCAGCCAGCCTGCTTGTCAATGTCCTGTCCTTCAACAACTGCTACACTCAGAGCTCAGGGATGAAAATTTCCTCCCACATGCTGACAGTGATAAAGCAGATTATATCAGCATAGCAAGTGTGTGGGCTGCGCCCCAAAGAATAGCTTTAAAAAGTTATCAAAGTTTTTAAAAGGTAATCTAAAAATTCTAAAACTAGCAAATTAGGTGTGTTAATCAACCTAAAACCAAAAAAAATAGTTTTTTTTAATTGTGTGGGTTTTTAACCTCCCATGGAACAGCTGAAAACAGTACTCATGGTAGAGCATAGATTTCTCAGACAAAGTATTTGTTTAAGTCAGGTGAAACAGAATGACCAAGAGATCAAATAAATCCAGACTGAACCAAAATATTTGGTAAAGAAGAAAAACAGGAGTGACATTTTGCAAGAAAAGGAATTATTTGTCTTTTTTGTTGTTGCTGGTGCTGCTGCTGCCTTAGGTCACAAATGGATTTTTCACTTGGACACCTGAAGGAGCTCCAACATTGTCCAGCATTGATATTCAAATCCCGCGAGGTAATAACCCACATTATAATAAACAATTTCTGCAGAAGTAAGCTTTTGTTCGCAAGTCAAATATGAATTTACATTCTTATCTGTATCTACCCTCCCATCCGTCTTTGTAATGCGAATGGGAATGCATGTGTCCCTTTGTTGCCTAAAACTATCAGGATTTGTGCCAATATATTTAGTAAATCAAAATATTATATAAATGTATTTCCATTATTGTAGGTCAGTTGACTATGATTGTGGGACAGGTGGGCTGTGGCAAATCATCCCTCTTGCTAGGGATACTTGGGGAGATGCAGAGGATATCAGGAAGTATAATCTGGAACAGGTAAATTTGTTTTTATTTTAAATACTTCAAAAGAGGTACAGATGTATAAAAAGGGTGCAGACATATTGTCACAACCATGTACTTGGTCTATATGAATTAATTTACTGTTGTGGAGAACACCACATTACATTTAAACTATCCATCTTTGTAAAGAACATTTGCTTCTCTTTGTTGTCTCATCCATATACACAACAACAATGAGCACTAGTAATATAAATATATACTTCAGTAAGCCATACTGATTTCAGCCAAGACAGAAGGATGCTTCTTGAAGATTCTGATATATTTATTCAAGATTTCAATGCAAACAAAGCACAATTGTTAGGTGGATACAATTCTGTTTACTAAGCTTATGCCGATATGATGACAAGGTCACTCAAAATGCACACACAGAATACATTACACAAACACTGCCTAGGAAATTATCAGCACTGCTACTTAAATTAGATTGCCTTTTACTGGAGGGGTATCCTGACTAGAGCTCTTGATGGTTCTATTTTTACCTAGAAGCATCTGTAATAACTTCAGAGTTGATCATACCAGTTACACTAAGGAAGGGAATATTTAACCCATCCAAATTATCCCAGTGATGCTATTATTAACTTGTTTGTGGATTGGTATGTGATTATTATATAGAATCATAGACTCATAAAAGTGTAGCACTAGAATGGACCCTAGTGGTCATCAGTTTCAGTCTTTTGCCAATGTAGAAAAATTTACCATGAGAGCATCCAATATCTGTTTTAAAAATCCAGCAAAAAGTGTCCACTTGATGTAAACTGTTCCATTGTCAAAAAGGTCTTACCATAAGGAACTTCTTTCTAATAGTTAGTTGGAATTTTCTTTAATGTAATTTGAAGCTGTTGGTTCATATCCTATTCTTAGAGCAGCAGAAAACAAGCCATCTTCCATGTGACAACCTTTCAGTTATCTGTGTAGTTACTTATTTGTGGAGATAATTTAACACAAATGGTCCTCAGTCCTATTGGCTTCAGAGGGAGTATTGCTGCTTAAGTCTAATTTGCTTGATCTAGACATCCCCATTGTCTCCCACTATTAAATATGCCAGTTAGGATTGATGGAGGTCACAGTCACACAGTATTTGGAGTAACACAGATTTTTAAGTGAATATTTTTAAGTCTGGAGTACTGGAAAATTTGAAAAGTCAACAGAGTATGGTGTTGATCATATCTGTATGCAAATATTATTTGTGAAGGATGTCTAAGGACTCATGACCTAACAGAAAAACAAGCTACGAGATTTGGTTAAATAAAAGCTAGAAGGAAGTGAAATCCAACACATTTATCAATAAAGAAAATAGAAAGCTGTCTAATCAATTCACATAGTTGTAAATTGTATATGCTGTTCCCTTCAAGTTATGGTGCTGTCTTCAAATTGTAGCAGCTCCATTAAGAATATGTTGCAACATTAATACAAAGCAGAATTTAATTAAGAATGCTCCTCTGGGCAAATTGTTCATATTTACATATATTAAAAATCTCTTTCCCCCCCTCCCGCCTTTTTATTGACAATACAGCAATATTCCTGACAGTGAGACAGGAGAAGATGTCAGGTATGGTATAACATACAATTTTTTCTTTGTAACCTCCTAAACCTATTATTTCATGAAGAAACAAAAAAGAACTCTGCTTTAATGAACTCTCTGAAAAGAAAATAAATCTAATATATTGGTTGTTGGGAAAGTAAAAAGTATTGAATATTTTCTGCAGCCTGTTTACAGTGGAATGTGTTGACACCATAGGATGTTCATCATTCCAACCTATTATATAGAATTGGGAGATTTGTAAAAATGCCTCTGAAATGTCCATCAAAACAACAACAACAATAAAAAACTTGTTTCCTCATCCTCCACCAAGATGACTAAAGCAGTTTCTATCCCAAAGCCAGGCTTGAAGTCAGACTGAAACGTGTCAAGATAATTAGGTTAATTTAAAAGAAAAACTAGGACAAAAACTAAAAACACAAACAAATGCAAAACAAAAATAAAAAGACTTTAGGGACTTTTGGTGATTTTTGGTACAGGACAGATTTTGTTTAAGGTGGAGGGAAATTAAGAAGGCTTCCATCATAAAGATAACGTCATTGCTTCATTTAGAGCAGGGCTGGGCAAAGTGTGGCCTTCTAAATTTTGTTGGGCTGAATCTTCCAGCATTCCTAACAACTGGTGTCACTGACCAACATTCTCCGGAGAACTACAGCACTTGCCCACTCCTGCTTTAGAAGGACTGCTATATACCATCTTTCAAGGAATAACTGTTTCCAGATTAGATTTTTTTTTAAGTGCATATAGAGGCATTCTCTTTTTAAAGCTACTTGCTGATAACAATGGTAGATTTGTGTAGTGGATTTGTCATTTGCTTGAGTGATATATGAATTGTACCATATCTATGCATGATTAAGCAAAAAATGTCAGTTATTTATACTTCTGAATTTCAAGATGTCAATTATTTATAATTCTGGGTGTAATCTTTGCATAAGTGTTTGCTAAATTGAATTAAAACTTTTTTTTTTAGCCCAGAGATGGAAACAGCAGTTGACACTGTAGCCAGGTATTGTATTTCAAAAATGAAGTGGAAAATCTTTGAGGTGTTTTTGTAAATGAAATGTTCTCATTCTGCCATATTGAAGATCAAAGACTTATTTCTTATGTAGTGCTGTTTGGAAAATAATTACTCCAGACATTTTAATAGAGTTAAAAATAGGCATATGTTATGAAGGTTAGAAAAATCCCTGAAGAGATGTTGCTTCTGGCCCAGTATTGATCAATTTAGCTCAATATTGCCATGGACAGCATTGATTGGATAATAGTACTTAAGATATTCAAGTAGTCTGAAAGGTAAAGCAGCTTCCTATATTCCTATGTTTGTTTGTTTGTTTATGCACCTATCACACCAACTCCTGGCCACTCGCAAGATAAGAATTGGTGCCATATAAAGAATAGAGGACACAGATTATATCATTGTGATTGTTTGATCTCCAGGGCAACCCATGTGCAGAACAGCAATATCAAATGTTTCTGGGTTGATTTTTGAAGCCTAAAACTCACCTTCTTGCTGCTGAGATAAAACAGAAGCATGCCTAGTCCTTATTGCTGGCTAGTTAACTATGATCTCATTGTCTAGAGTTAAAGTCTATATAAATCTAAGCTTCTTAGTGTTTAACCTTCATACAAACACATGCAAAACTTAAAGGAACATGCAAAGAACTGATAAGTCTATCAGTGAATGATCCAAAATAATAAGGGCTTTAACATCAGAGTGGCATACCCACTGATCTGAAGGATGACAAAAAATCTCATACTAATCATAGCTAAGGCCATTACTGAAACAGTGTTCCAGAAAGAAATATAAACTGATACATGCTATGTTCATTTTTGTAGAACCGGTGGGTCTTTTCCTATCTCTGTACAACCGTCAGAGCTTGGGGGAAAAAAAAATTTTCTTCATCCACGACTCTCAGAATTCCTAACACCCAGTAGCTATAGTCCACAGAAGTCATTGGAAAACACATTACAGAAAACAATGTACATATACCAAAAACTTACATATTTATTATGATTCTATGTATAGTAATCATTTCTAACAATAACTCAGGAACTCTTTCTGTAGCAACCAATTTTGTCAAATCGCTCAGGCCCAATAAAGGCCTTTCAGTAAATTAAAAATTTTCAGCTATGCCATCCTTGGCATCTTAATAATATGATAGTATGACACTGATCCACTTAACACAGCTTTCAGTAATAAATAATCCCATTCTGCCAAGTTGATTCCAATTTATGGCAACCCTTTCCAAGGTTTTCTATGTAGAGAGCACACAGAAATGATTTACCACTTCCTTCTTCTAGGGGTGCTTTGGGACTGTACAGCTTGCCCAAGGCCACACAGTCCCATTTCATGTTCTTCCAGGAGGCATAGCTTCTGCCAGCCCATTAATATTACTCAAAGGAAACTATTGTTTAGCTGTCAATACTAAAATGTTCCAGTACCAAACCAAAAACTCTAAACTTCTACATACTATTCTGATTGTAACCTTATATAGGAAGGGTGTGAAGGCATAGAGGGCATGTTTTGCACAAAGAAAGATCCTGAATTACTCCCCAAGATCTCCAGTTAGGTCTAGGAAGGAGTCCTGCCTGAAACCCTAGCAAGCCACCGTCAGTCCATGTAGGATGATACTTGGTGGGATGGATCAATGGCATAGCTCAGTATGTCAGCTTCTTATGTTCACTGTTTGTACATCTGTTGTGATGATGTACCCTTTAAATTAGATATGTGAAATATAAATATATCTTTAAAATAATACTTTGGAAAAATGCATTAGTGAAGAATCTTTTCAATGTGTGCTTCAGTAAATCACCATCCTAAAATGGATTTTTTCTGTATATTTTTTTCTGACTAGGAAAAGAGGGCCAGTGGCATACGCTTCCCAGAAACCATGGTTACTAAATGCTACTGTGGAAGAGAATGTCACTTTTGAAAGCCCCTACAATAAACAAAGGTAATGTGTTTAACTGCTATATGAATACACCTAATAGTAAGGTTTCCTTTACCACAGAACATTTTTATGGTTGTTAACAGCACTCCTTTCCTGGTTACATAGTGCTAATGTTGAATTACTGTGGCAAAGGCAGTTGTCATTGGTCTGAAATGCTGGAACATATTGATCATGAATCCATCTTTCTCTAGATGTCCTGTATTGACAGGAGATGTGATTTACCTTCCTAACAAAAGCCCCATCTTGTACATTACAACAACTGAATGGCAGGCATTGCAGATACTATACATGGAGGATACAAGACATAATGCAAGATTGTTACATACATTAGTAAATCAAAATTTGCTTTAATTTTTCAAACTGAAATCAGTTTTAAAACTGGTTTTAAAGATCTGTTTATAAATATTTCCAAAAATTAGGCAGAGAGCGTGGTGTGGTGTTCGGTTGTTTCAGAAAGCAGTATTCAATTGACTGAATTATGAACAGCTGTGAAGATTCTTTCTATCAGGGCACACTATAAGAAGACGGAAGGTGATTTTCACTGCCTAAATCTGGGACAGTGAAATCCCTCCTAGTGCAGTGTATGGATTGCACTGTTAGAATGGTTGTCTAAATAGTGGCACAATTAGCCAATTGTACAAACACTTGTTGTACAAGTGTTTGTACTTCCAGTTGAACACTTCCAGTTGAACTATTTAAAATCTTAAAAGATGACACTGTTAAGGTCCAACATTCAATATGCTAGCAAGTTTGGAAAACTCAACAGTGGCCAGAGGACTAGAAAAGATCAGTTTACATCCCAATCCCTAAGAAGGGCAGTGCCAAAGAATGCTGTAACAATTGCACTCATGTCACACGCTAGCAAGGTTATGCTCAAAATCCTCCAAGGTAGGCTTCAGCAGTATGTGGACCGAGAACTCCCAGAAGTACAAGCTGGATTCCAAAGGGGCAGAGGAACCAGAGACCAAATTGCTAACATGCGCTGGATTATAGAGAAAACCAGAGAGTTCCAGAAAAACATCTACCTCCGCTTCATTGACTATGCAAAAGCCTTTGACTGTGTGGACCACAGCAAACTATGGCAAATCCTTAAAGAAATGGGAGTGCCTGACCACCTTATCTGTCTCCTGAGAAACCTATAGGAAGCAACAGTTAGAACTGGCTATGGAACAACTGATTGGTTCAAAATTGGGAAAGGAGTACGACAAGGCTGTATATTGTCTCCCTGCTTATTTAACATATGCACAATACATCATGCGAAAGGCTGGACTGGAGGAATCCGAAGCTGGAATGAAGATTGCTGGAAGAAATATCAACAACCTCAGATATGCAGATGATACCACTCTGATGGCAGAAAGTGAGGAGGAATTAAGGAACCTTGTAATGAGGGTGAAAGAGGAGAGTGCAAAAAATGGCCTGAAACTCAACATCAAAAAAACTAAGATCATGGCCACTGGTCCCATCACCTCCTGGGAAATAGAAGGGGAAGATTTGGAGGCAGTGACAGATGTGACTTTCTTGGGCTCCATGATCACTGCAGATGTAGACAGCAGCCACGAAATTAAAAGACGCCTGCTTCTGGGGAGGAAAATGATGACAAACCTTAACAGCATCTTTAAAAGCAGAGACATCACCTTGCCAACGAAAGTCAGCATAGTCAAAGCTATGGTTTTTCCTGTAGTGACGTATGGAAGTGAGAGCTGGACCATAAAGAAAGCTGACTGCCGAAGAATTGATGCTTTTGAACTGTGGTGCTGGAGGAGGATCTTGAGAGTCCCCTGGACTGCAAGGAGAACAAATCTATCAATTCTAAAGGAAATCAACCCTGAGTACTCACTGGAGGGACAGATCCTGAAGCTGAGGCTCCAATACTTTGGCCATCTCATGGGAAGAGAAGATTCCTTGGAAAAGACCTTGATGTTAGGAAAGTGTGAAGGCAAGAGGAGAAGGGGACGACAGAGGATGAGATGGTTAGACAGTGTCATCGAAGCTACCAACATGAATTTGACACACCTCCGGGAGGCAGTGTAAGATAGGAGGGCCTGGCGTGCTCTGGTCCATGGGGTCACGAAGAGTCGGACACAACTGAACAACTAAACAACAACGACAAACACTTGGCACAACCTCTTCTACAACTGTAACAAGAGTGTATGGGCAGCTGTAAAGGCAATGGTAAAGGGGGAAGAGTGACTCTCTCCCCTTCCTCCCATAGAGATCCACTAGAACTCAGGCCTTTCTATGAATGAAAGGAGCATTCTGCCTGTAGAAGAGACTGTGAAAAATATATTCAAGTTAATCACTGTTTTATTGTCAGCATCAGTCATCCCATAATATTAAATCTGTAGTGTACACCTGCATCAAAGAGGCTTTGGTTGAAATCTGGTTGAAATCTGGTTGCTTTGTTAAGGTAGCAGAAGCAAATGGCATAAGCTGACACTTAAAGAGTCCTCCATGGAATTCTCAAGCACCTGCCAAACCACTGAGTGCACAGAACGCCAAAAATAACAGCAGCCACTGTTTATAAGCTGGAAGCTAGTGAATGTTTTACCATATGCCTTCTGCCTATGTATCTGTGTGATAAGATTTCAGCCTCTGAAAAAAGCAAGCATTAATCTAATTTAGCATCGATTAATGCTTGCTTGATGACATATTGAAGAATCAACTAGTGTATAGCTAGAGTCCCATAATCATATTTTGGATGGCATCTTTATCAATATTTGATTCATCTACTATAGGATTATTTTTGCACAACCACCAAAAATGTCCTCATCACTGAAGAGTAAAGTTTGCATCTATTATATTTATTATATAATTATTGCAATGTGATATTATTTCATTCAGGTCTCTTGCAAGTTATCCTTCATGAAATCTAGCATGCTCTTTAGAAGTTGCTGAAGGCTGACTTCATCCTTCTCTTGTGAAACTGAAATCCTGGCACTAAATAGTTTAATTCAGATAGTTTAATAAATGTCAGATTGTTTTTTAAAAATCCTTAAGAATTATAATATTAAGTAAACTGCCCTTTCCTCTATGATCAGCTGTTAATAATGAATTTATTATTTGGAGCCAATGTTTATCATGAGAAATTCCTTAGCATTCTAATCTTCAGCTAATCATGTAGGTCCTTAGATTTCTCTAAATCGTTAAATGTAAAATGTATCAGAGTTTATTCTGCCAGTTTTCTGTATCTTATCAAGCATCATATTCAGAACATGATTTCTTAGAGTGAATATTAAAAGCATGATCTGCACATTTGCTGAGAAGTGGCAGCTAAAATCAGTAAAAAATACAAGGATTTGTGTTTCAGGGAGAAGGACACCAAATGTTTTTGTAATTATTCTTCTTATGAGAGCACCTTAATTGGGCTTCTCTGAAAGAGCACATTAATATGTCCTCTCAGAGGACATATACATTTCAATATGTGGAAATAGTTAAGAGTAGAGTTGGGGACGAAGTGCCAAAATTGCCCTCCCATGACCCAACGAACAATGAATCAATTCAGCATTCATCAGTACTTTTTCTTTCTTTTTGTGTGTGTGTGTGTGTGTGTGCTTTCACTCCCCTTGCTATGCCCCAGGGCATAGCAAGAGGAGGGAAAGCAGGGATGAAAGCAACCCTGCAGCGCTTTGATCCCTTTCACCCTCCTCTTGCTAAACCCTGTGGCTTAGCAAGAATGGGGAAAGCAGGGATCAAAGCGATCCCACAGCAGCTGAGGGATCCCTTTGATCTCTCTTTGATACCTTCCCTCCTCTTCTTATGCCATGCAGGCATAGGAAAAGGAAGAAAGGGGAACCAAGTCATTTCCCAGCCCCTGGGATGGGGTTCCCTTTGTGCAGGCTTTAACAAGCCGCCTGAAGGGAAAAACCCCTCTCTGCTTATGCCCTTGAGGAACAGCTGATCCACAGGGGCATAAGCAGATAGGGAAGGAAGGGACTAATATAAAAGGGTTATATTTGTTGCTTCATATTCGTTGGGGTCTCTGGATCCCAAGAATATGAAGCAACAAATATCCAATGAATTAGGAATATTTAACGAATATCCTGATTTGTTTTTATATTCGTCCCCATGTCCAGGTTATTGGGATAACCATGGCATATTCCTCATCACCAGGTTATTGAGATAAACATGGCATATTCATCATCACACTAACTTCCACTTGTGAACTTCAGAGAGGTTTCTGGCTACCTAAGGCTAGAATTTGTTAGGCTACACAGAGATTTTATCTTAAACAGCAAGGCAGTTCTGATCTAACAAGATTAGACTCTGATCTCATATTCTTATATTTGATCTTGCATTCTTACATTTATCTTAAATAAAGAGCAATGTTTCTTTAATGCCTGAAGATGGAGATTCTGTTATATTGGCTATTATCAGTCCAGCCTCTGAAAATAAAGACTAAATTGAAAAGACATAATTAAATTCTAATGGCACCATGAGAATTGTTAGCGTTTGTTTTTTAAGATGATTTTTTTCAGACAATGCAACCACATCCTGCAGCTCATTTCATATAATTGAACCACATCCTGCATCTCTTTTCAATTTATTGTGTATAATGTTTTACCAGTACAAACAAAAAATGAGTGCACTGCTACTGATGCAGACCACAGATACTGCTGTCTCTTCAAATCTCTGCCTCAGCAATCTCACCTGACCCCAAAGTAACCTCCGACAATTTAAAATAATACCACTCAAGACACTTGGGCTGTGGACCTTTAAAGATGACTATAGATGAGTTGCAAATGTGTATGAGTCTCCTCAAGATATTCAGGATCAAGCACAACAACAGAATCAAAGTGTACACCATCTGTTTTTAACCTTTGAACACCTTGTAGTGTATGATTAGCTAAAATGGAATTTATTTAACTGGAACAGCCCAAGTTCCCATTAGTATAATTAGTGCTTAGCAAACATGCATTTTCCAGCGTGTGACTTCTCCAGCTGATTAATCTCACCCTTAAAAGCAAGCAAATTGTAACTGTGAGGCAGTATCTATGTGAATTTACAATTACCATTTCTGTTTCCACAGGTACAAAGCAGTAATTGATGCTTGCTCTCTTCAGCCTGATATTGACATACTTCCTCATGGAAACCAGACTCAGATAGGAGAGAGGGTGAGTGACCACATGCAAGATGTTTTTTAAAAAATTAAGAACATAAATGTGTCAGATGCTCTTAAAATTCTAACTATTATTTCAGAATACCAATTTGAAAAGCAAATACAATTTCAGATCATTAGTTTGAAAGCATTACACTTTGCAAACATTCTTGCAGTTTTAGCTAATGAAACATTTATTTCATGTTGTACTCTTTCCACCTGATAACACTGTATTGTATTATGCTGAGGGTATATTTTTACTCCATAAAACAAGAAAATTTTAAAAATAATTTACAATGAATTTGATAATGATGTTTTAAAGGACTTCAGTATCCTTTCTTAGCCATGAATCTAACAGCCTTGGCCATGCCATAAACATGGAGAATCAGATTTTCAGCTGTAAAATGGGAATGCACAATTACTTCAGGTATTTTTGTAAGGGATAACAATATGATTGTTAAAACACATTAAAAGTGAGATGTTAATAATTAATAGAGTAAGCATTCATTTTGTGTCTTTTTTGGTGGTAAAAGCAAAGAAAAGGCAAAGTGTGCTGCTTATATACTGCCCCATAGTGCTTCAAGCACTCTCTGGGCGGTTTACAAGTTAATTATGCAGGCTACACATTGCCCCCCCCCCCCCCAGCTGGGTACTCATTTTACCAACCTCGGAAGGATAGAAGGCTGAGTCAACCTTGAGCCGGCTAACTGGGATCAGGTTTGACTGCAGTACAGCGGTTTAACAACTGGTAAAGGTAAAGGTTCCCCTTGACAATTTGTCCAGATGTGTCCGACTCTAGGGAGCGGTGTCCATCTCCATTTCCAACCCATAGAGCTAGCATTTTAGTCCGAAGACAATCTTCCGTGGTTACATGGCCAGCGCGACTAGACACGGAACACCATTACCTTCCCACCGTGGTGGTACCTATTTATCTACTTGCATTTTGCATGCTTTCAAACTGCTAGGTTTGCGGAAGCTGGGACAAGCGACGGAGGCTTACTCCATTTTGTGGATTCGATCTTATGACTGCTGGTCTTCTGACCTTGCAGCACAGAGGCTTCTGCAGTTTAAACCGTGGCACTACCACATCTTTGTGGTAAGTACGTACTAATAAAAGTACGTACTTAGTATTTAGCATTGGAATCCTTAGGAATGAGAATTAAGATTCTATCTTGTTTCACAGTTTTTTGTTAATTCTGTCTTTTTCTTGTCCACAGTACACATTGTGTCTGGTGCACTCCAAATGGCTTTTCAAAGCAGTGCTCAAGTAGTGAAGCCTCAGAATATTGCATAAACCACATCTTGTTCATGGAATAGAAGTTGCAAAAGCAGCTCCAACTATTTTAAGAGTTGCTTCTTGTGTGTTTGTTGCACAACTGGTATGCAACCAACACCTTTCCCAATAGCTGCAACCACTTCTGCAACTTTCATTACACATATGGTAATCTGAACAAGATATTGTCCATAGTTTTAAAAACTATTTTCCCTCTATTATTCCAGGGCATTAATCTGTCTGGAGGTCAGCGTCAGCGGATCAGTGTGGCAAGAGCTCTTTACCAGCAGACAAATGTTGTGTTCCTGGTAAGTTAGGCTGCCTTGGGTACAAAAACTATTTGAAGCCGTCTGCCAAGGGCCACTTGGGGAAAAGCCTCCACTTCTGTGCACAGCTATAAGACTGGCAAATATCATTCTCCCTTCCACAATAGGCTTCTCCAGCAAATGTTAGGAAAAGCACCAGTGCAAATCCTCCTATCATCCAAGGTGAAAAAAGGACCACAGTGCATGTTCCCCTGTTCCTCTTACCATCATGCAGAATACTCATGAAGAGGTAGAGAAGGAGAAGGATGGGGGTGATTGTGGCAGTGGAAGCAGCAGAAACATCTTTCTTCTGTCCACTTCTATAGCGTGGCTGCTTCACGGCCATCTATATAAATAACGCCTGGCCCTAATAAGGTCTAGGCAATAGGAAATTATTTTGGTGGCACACCCATCCTCCAATGATGTCCAAGTTCCAAGGATGCTTGGTGTTATGCATTTTTCACACAGTTGGCTGAGAATTGGTTGTGGTAAGGAAGGGTATGAGCTTCATTGGTTACTGCCATAGGGCTCGATCACACGTGCTAAAAGAATCGCAGTTATACCATTTTAGCTGTTATGTGGATTGTTTCAAACTTTTTCATTCACATCATGCATGATCACATCGGTTCATTTGCCCTGGCAATTGGTTTCATTCCTCCTCGCTGGGAGGGTGGTTTTAAATTGTACTGATAATGTATCACTTCATTTCTTATTGTTTCAACATGTGTGAATGTTGCTGTCAATTTCCTTTGTGAAGGAGTTGGGTTTTTTGGGCGCTCGGGCCACTTCATGGCTACTATGCTTCTACCCTTTTTTAAAAGAACTTTTAAAGGGATATCAGTAAATTAGAAGTAGCAGCCACCACCGCCACAACAAAACCAATATTAATACATTGCTCAGAATGAGACAGCCTCCCCCGCCCTTGCAGGTGAAAGAGGGCTTGATCTGAGAAAGGGACATTTCTTACTTTGAATTGTAAAGAAAGGTGCATAGTAATAATGTCTCCTCTCTCTCTCTCTTTTTTAAACCGTGCTCTTCACAGTATTTGTAAGTCTTTTAAAATTGGCTTCCTCCTCCCAACACTGTGCAAAGGAGAAAAGAAAAATGAAAGCCAAGTACTGAGAAGGGAGAAATACACATGGGGGTAAGGAAAGTAAAGGAGAAAGAGAAAAGGGGTCCCCAACCTTGGTCCTCCAGATGTTCTTGGACTTCAATTCCCAGAAATCCTGGCTGGCAGAAGTGGTGGTGAAGGATTCTGGGAGCTGTAGTCCAAGAACATCTGGAGGCCGAAGGTTGGGGACCCCTTTTCTCTTTCTCCTTTACTTTTCTTACATGTGAATGTATTGATATAAGAGAGGGATGAAAAGAATCGGTACAACTGGGTTTTTTTTCTTATGTGTGATTGAGCCCTTATATTTCTATTTATGTATTTTTTTTCTTTTTGTATTTATATCTTCTCTCTTCTCTTTCTCTCTCTTCTGAGTCTAAAGGGAGCCTAAGTTGATAAACATGACAGCTGAGGGAGGGAGGGAAGTGCTAGCTGTTAGCTAATAATGGATGAGGTTGGGAACAAGGTTATATCTGTGATAACGGAGAGAGGGAGATATGGCATTGGAAGGAGGGCAGGCCATTACAAGACAGCATGCTCTAGACCAGCAGTGGCAAACCTTTTTGGGCCCAACTGCCCAAACTGAAAAGAAACCCAGCAGGCCGTGGACCGTGGCAGTGGCAGTGGCAGAACCGGAAGTGGTGGTGGAAGGGGGAATCCCAGGCACGAAGGTGCCTTGAGGCCCCACTCTGGATCCACAGCCAGCACCAGCTGCTCCAGATCCTGGCCCGCCACCTGCCGAAGCACCAGCACCGAGGCTGCAGCTGCCTCCTGAGGTTTGGCTGCAGGAGGGGAGTAGCAATCCGGCAACTTATAGCTCACGTGCCCACAGAAAGGGCTCTACGTGCCAGCTGTGGCGCACGTGCCATAGGTTCGCCATTGCTGCTCTAGATATTCAATATCTGTTCCATGCTCTAGTCCTCCCCACCAACAGAATCAAAGTAACTTTATCAGGCAACCATATGATCTGTTGATGTCACTGCTAAATGCCAGGTCGATTGAAAATAACTGTGAGCTAATTCGTTGTCTTATAGCAAATAGAAAGGCTAACCTGGTTTATATAACCAAAATCTGAGTGAGTGTGGAAGGTGGGATTGCCCTTTCCAAGATACGCCCTCTAGGATATTCAAGCCAACATCATAGCTGATCAGAGGAGAGGGCAGGGTGTGTTGCCATAGTCTATAGGAAATCTGTTAAGGTCAGCAGGATCTCTGCCCATTTGTGCACAGGTCTGGAATGTCTTCACCTGAGGTTGGATAAGCAGGACAGAGTGGGAATTGCATTGGTGTACCACTACCCCATGACCCCCAACGCTTTCCTTATCAGAGCTGATAGACTTTGTCTCAGGTATGTTGGGATCCTCTAGACTTTTACTTCTGGGGGACTTGAATATCTATGAGGAGAGGCATGTTTCCAGAGCAGCCTTCCACCCCATGAAGTAACCACTTCATTTTGGTCAATAGCTGGGTCTGACCTAGCTATGGTGGCCTTTCCTTTCCTTTTTTCCCTTTTTCTTTACTGAAGATACCCATCTGATGTCTACTTCAATCACCTATGGACTTCAAATGGAAATTTCAATTAACTGTGAACTGATCTTGAGGATAGTGGATAGTAGAACAAGTAGGCTCGGCAACACTCAGTTAATCAATTTTGTGAACATTTGTGCTTGCACAGTCCTCCAATGTAGCTTTAGCTAGAGATACCACTGGAATCTCTATCTCTCCCTCTTCATGATAAATATTTGGTTTTTTTCTGATTTCTTTGTTATTGCTAGAATGCTGTTTTGTTTAAAATGGTTTTTCATATTGAATTTACTGTGCTGAAGTCAAGTCCTGATGTTGGGAGGCTCTTCTTTTTCTGGAAAGGCAAACATTTTCTACTGTTTGGCCCTGCCTTCTGCTGGAATAGATGCTAGCTTTGGCTATTATTTCTTCTTCACCAGAACATTTAAGTTCACCATTCCATTTTCCATTAAAACTGGCATACTGATTTTCCCCTTAACTACTATAAATCATAGAAAGGAATAATCTAATTTTTTTTTCTTTTGCTTAGGATGATCCATTTTCTGCACTGGATATCCATTTAAGTGACCACCTCATGCAAGAAGGAATCTTGAATATGCTAAGAGAGGAAAAGAGGACTGTTGTTCTGGTTACCCACAAACTACAATATCTCCCCCATGCTGACTGGGTAATAAAAGTTTTTGTTGTTGTTGTTGTTGTTGTTGTTGTTATTTTAATGAATAAACCAGAATTTGTAAAGGGACAGACCTAAGTACTTTTAAATTCCATTATTTTCAGTGGAAGAGATACGAGCATAGGTTGTATCACTGAAATTAATAGGATTTTTATATGTTCAATATTTGGATATTTAATCCTCATTCTGCCTTCATCTCTACAACCCTGTGGTTACTGACAGAGGGTGTACATAGAGACACTTTCACTTTCCTATTTAAGCTCAAATCAAATGGGAAAATAAACATTCCCTACTGGCAAACATCAATATGTTATGTTTAAATGACCAAGGTTTCTCTGTATTACAAATGGAGGTGGGACTTGGAGAAGGAGCGGGCTTTTGCTCCATATTCTATTTTTTGTATATACATATTTATTAACCACATGTTAAGACATAGCCCTCGCAAGGTGTCTCAAATAGTAATAAAGCTAGAGAATTTAGTTTAATGACTAGATTACAGACTACTAGATTAATGTAAAGATATTTAAAATGCCCTAGTTTAAAAAATAGATGTGCACAGTTACTGTTGAACTTGAAGCAAGTAACATGTGAAAGGAAAAAGCAGTCCACCAAAAATACATTTTTAGAACTTACTTTTAAATTTGCTTCACAAGCCTCAGGGGGACAGTTTTGGGGCCTCAGAGGTTATGGGGAGAAGAGGTGGGGAACAAAATGTTCCATTATATAAACAGAACTCTGTCCACACAACAGTGGTTGCCCCCAAAGAAATTAAAGTATTTAGATAATTTGTTTATTTCAGTATAACCTATTTACCTGATGTGTTAGGATTTTTACCATTGATGTTTGTATGAATATTTGTGCAGTCTGTTGAAATGTGGTGGTGTTATTCAGCACCTCAGAACAGTGCTAGCCAAAAAGCCCTTCTGATATTCCGAAATTGTAAGAACAAGAGTGTATGCTGCAGCATTTGTAGTTCATAGTACACAGTAGGATGTGTGACCACATAAAAGTCAGTACTCATGTTCAACTGAGCACAGTTGTACTTCTAATTCAGGCCATCCTTGCAAACATGAGGAGGTCACTGGAAGAAGGGCTGAGGTGGCTGCATTATTGTCTCCCCGGTGCTTCTCATTCGGTGACACCTAAAAAGAGCTCAAGACATTTATACGAACACTCTTTTGACTTGTTGCATCAATCAGATATTAATTCCTGCTTTTATGTATTGTTTCTCTCTTTCTTAATGGTGCTACCTGAAGTATATTGCTTCCCCCAAATAATATGGCAGCACTGCTTCTGCCTCAGAATGAAAGCTAGATTGTTTTTTTCACCATTACATTGTATAGATGAATTTAATTTGATCTATACCAAGATTCTTCATCCTATGTATCAAATTTCATCATCCTAACTCCATTTATAAGTTAAATTTTGTTTAAATCTGTGCATGTCAATTAAAAAGAGCTCTTTAATTATGTACAATGTGCAGAGAAAACAGATGTTTGACCATTTGCGACTTAAACTGTTCCAGATTATTGCAATGAAGGATGGCACCATTCAAAGAGAAGGTACACTCAAAGACATTCAGAAATCTGAACCTGAGCTCTTTGAACACTGGAAAACACTCATGAATCGACAGGATCAAGAGCTGGAGAAGGTATGTATGCTTTCATTTTAGAACATCTTAATATTATTATTTCTTGTGTATTATTCCTTGAGTGAAACATGTATGGTTTAAAATCCTCAATATTGAATGGGGTTGAAATGAAATAATCTTCATTCTACTTCACTCGAGGGAAGAAAAGGGAATATGGAGTATTCTCCTACGCAGTATAATAGTGACAACAAATTCAATCGTACAGAAGACTGGCTATCAAAAGGTGGAACCTGAGGTGCTAAAACTACAATCCCAAACTCTAATGCAGGTTTAGGAGTATGTAAAGGTTCCCATTTGCTGACTTCTAGAGAAGAATACTAACAGTGGGGGAAAGAAAGTCTGTCCGCCCTGGTGGCTGCATTCTGCCTGGGGAAACCTACAGGCAGAAATCAAGTCTCAGCAGTTTGCCCACAAAGCATATGTGGGCAAACCATGGCCTGTGGGCACTTAGATCCCTTGCCTCATCACACCACTTTTTTCTGACCTTTAATAGGTGTAAGGGAAAATCTTGCTATTCCCACCTTGCCCCTGAGATTTTTTTTTGGCTGTGGAAAATTTTGTAAGCATGGATGTGACTTTTTTAAAATGCCTGCTCTTAACCTAAAAAAGTTTGTGGGGTGGGGATAGAGGAATGACATAGATTGCTTCAAATATACTCAATACATTGCCCTGCATACTACGTGGGGTGGGGTGGGTCTAATATTGGACCTCTTGCCTGTGTTTGTATGGAACAGGGCACATACCATGGAGTGGTTGAAAATCCTACTCTGCTGGAAGGAAAAGAGAGAAAAGGTGATGCCCTGTTTCTATCCTCACCTGTACAAACTATGGTCCATAATTCCTCTTTTTCCTAAGCCCACTTAATCAATTAGTTATTATTGTGAGGGATCTTTTCTGCATGTATTACATAACTTGACACTAAAATGTAGGGCAGGCATAACCCTAACTAAGCTATTAGCAATGCTTTGTTGGAGAGAGCTATAAAGTAATTCATTGTTTTTTCCCAGTACATTATCAGATATAAATTACTGATACTGCAGTAGCCTATAAAGAAGAGCACAAATGGCCATGGACTTTCACAAGTTGTCCAGCCTTGTTTAAACACAGTTAACACAACATATATGCAGCTGCTTCAATGCCACCTTTTCAAATTACTGTGCTGACCCTAGGTGTCAATTCTAGTTAATGACAAGGTCAACATTATGTCTGCAACAGTGTCTTCTGACAGATGGAATAGCTGTCCTAAGAGCCCTTTGATGCATGTTTACATAAGCACTTAATAATTAATGATAATTAAATACAAAATCAGTTTCACCTTATAATTATTTGGAGAGAGGTCTTTTTGTTTTTGTTTTTTGAAAAGGAGAATTATAATTATACCCAGTCTCACTTCATTATTTTCCTTTTTAGGAGATACTAAATGAAAGCAAAACTGTATTAGACAGAAAAAACCTACAGAGGACGATGTATTCCCGAGAAGCTCTTTCTCAAGATGATGAAGAGGATGAAGGTGAACTAATATTTTAAAAAAGGACATTCTGGTTAATTTTTCTATTCTTTACAAATTTTCACAACATGAACATGTAGCTGTTCTTAGGTGCTAGAATGTAGTATTATAGTCATGGAACAAGTTGGGCTGGGTTTAACTAATACTTATTGACTTTGTCAGAAACATTTCTGTTTACTGGTTACATTGCACAATCTATTATAGTTTTTCCTGTAAAGAGCTTGGAATGGAGTATCTGACATTTTGATCATGTAGTTTAGCATGATTTATATGCCACTCTAGAGGTGGAACTATACTACAGGCCTCATGTCTATTCTGAGGGGAAAATGCATAGTAGTGTGCATAGTTCTTGTCTGAAGCTATTTTGACTTACAACCGTGTTTCAGTATGAAAATCCATATATTTTTTTAGGAGCATAATTCAAACATTATTACATGTCCTGCAACTACTTTGCAATAGCTCCTTTTCATCTTTTGTTCTGTGCCTGTTCAATGGCCTTAAACTTATCTCCAGCTCTGCTAATATATAAAATGGCATGTTTCTCTTCATTTCTATGCTCTGTCTCACAAACTGACCCAAAAACAAAGCAAAGTGTTCTGCTTATATACCTCCCCATAGTGTTTAAAGCACTCTCTGGGTGGTTTACGAGTTAATTATGCAGGCTACCCATTGCCCAACCCCCACAAGCTGGGTACTCATTTAACCAACCTCAGACAATACATATTTGCTGCATTCTGATCCCTTGTTTAGGCACCTTACACCTTTAGGATTGTTCACACTTACAACAATCTTTCTGGCTACTACTGGCCAACAAAATCAACTCCACGCTGAAAGTTGATAGCGACTATAGCCATTGGTAGTCATGAAAATTTTCCCACAAAAATCCAATGACATTTAAAGTTTGGGACATGACTTACAGAGCAGTTGAGCCATCAAGTAAGAACAACAAATTGATTTGTAAAAAAATATATTAGCATAGTGGATAGGTAGTAGGAAGAAGTGCATGTCTTGCGCATTTTTCAGAAGTAGAGAATATTTCTCTGTTCTTACTCTGCTAATGGATCTGCTGATAATGAGACTTACCGGTAGCTCAGCCCCACCCCCTTCTCAACAGGTGATTGGTTCCATGATCTATCATGAATGTCTGAAACCACAGATATAAGGGAACCATATATAAAATGTACAAAAGAGTGGCACAAAGGACACCAGTGGGCACCCTTGTATGTTGTATATAGGGCTAAGGCAAACTGTGGATAAGTGAAACCATGGACAACAATCACACAAATTTGGGGTTCCTACTGTATTGTTGTTGGTTATCAAATTGGCACATAAGAAGTCAGAATGAGGGAAACAGTTACTCAGAGGCTGGATCTTACTTTTCTTTTGTTTCGTATGCACTTGGCTTCATATTCATGTACAATTGCACAATATCTTAACATTTATTTTGATCTTGAGTGGTGTTTACATCTGACCAAAAATATATAGACTGAGCCAATTAGGCTGCCATTGGCAAGAAATGTTTGTTCTGTATCCCATATAATACCAGTATCACTGCATAAAGACAGAGGTGGAACAATTGAGTACTTTTATAAAATGTTTGTATGATTTTACAGTCCAACAGCTTTTTTCCTATCAATTTGCAGATGAAATTCTAGAATGTGGTGATGATGATGATGACAATCTGTCTTCTGTCCTTCATCAAAGAGCAAAGATACCATGGAAAGCATGTGGGAAGTACCTCAGCTCAGCAGGATTCCTTCTCTTGCCTTTGCTGATCCTCTCACAATTCCTAAAACATTCTGTTATGGTCTCCATTGACTATTGGCTAGCCCAGTGGACATCTGATGCAATATCTCCAAGGAAGGAAACAAATTGCACTTTTTGTGAGGTAAATTGTTTCTTAGCCTCCTTTTTCTTTCTTTTAAAGGGACCATTTTTCCTAACACAAATCTCTTGCTGCCAAGTGAGATAGGCTTCTTCTAGGATCCATTGACATTTCTACTATTTCAAAACATGAAATGTGTTCTCTGAAAATAGCCTCAGTAGAAATTTCTGCTATCTTTTTATTTCCCTGCACAGAAGCATCTAGCAATTACAGATAGTTTTAAGTTATGTTTTGTAACAAATAGGATGAAAACTTTTCACTTTTCTCTAAGCTTGTGATCTAATACCATCAGGTGGGAAGAGAAAAGAGAGCCCTTAAGGAATCAGAATCTTTACTGTCATTATTTATTTATTTAATAAACTTGCAAAAGTGTGCTACTTCTATATCACCCCTTAGTGCTTAAAGCACTCTCTGGGCAGTTTACAATTTAATTATGAAGGATACACTCCCCCCCCCCGCAAGCTGAATATTCAATTTACTGACCTCAGAAGAATGGAAGACTGAGCCAGCTCCCTGGGATTGAACCTAGCTGTGAGCAGAGTCTTGGCTGTAGTACTGCAGATGACCACTACACCACAAAGCTCTTTGTATATACCGCACAATTAGTGCTGGGCACTACTCTGGCCAGTTTACATCCAAAATAAAGTAAATATGAAATAATATAACAAGAAATAAGTGACCACATACAAACAAATATACCCCCCCAAAAAATCCCAACTAATAAATAAAAGAAAAAAAACCAAATTATGGCAGAACGGAAAACATCAGAATAGCAAATCCATGACACAGTAACAGAGGATGACCTCAAAGTCTTCAGTGAACAGCCTTGTTTTGAGCATACACTTAAAAAGTGTGAGGGAGAGGGCCAGGGGCAGCTCCACTCGGAGCCCATTCCATAGGGATGGGACCACAACCAAGAAGGCCTGGTATCTAGCAGGCCAACCATTAACATTGTAGGCAATATGGATGCAGTTGTCCACTGGGACCAGTAGTGACAATTTTTGGACTCTCATATCCCAAAGGTTTTCCCAGGATGAAAGAGTTCCCTAAGGAGCCCCATAACCTGGAGGAATGGAAACAAAAACTTTTAATTAATGATAAAAGGCCATGCCTGATAATGTAATCCATTTTACATACACGAAGCTGGGCCGATGAAGTTTCAACCAAAGAGTGCATATCCTTATAATACAGGCAGTATAGTAACACATGTTCTGCTGTTTCAGACATGCCTGACTGACAAAGACAGATACCTTGGAAAGTAAGGAATACATAGGCATCATCTTTTCTAGGATAGCTTATAGCAGACTATGGCGTTAGAATTCTAGAGCATAAAGGTAATTTGCCAGGGTGAAGTATTTGCATGATTCCTAATCACCAGTTGACACTGAACCCATTCTCTGTCAACTCAGAGAGGTATATCCCAAAATCATTATCTGGTTATTTCTTGGGCTCTCAGAAATTCTAGGTGTAGTAGTGCTTCAAAAGAAAAGACTTAACCTGACTCAAAGAATATGAATGTAAATAACTTACTGGCTGAAATCCTGTTGCTTAGTGTAAGCCAAATCATAACTTTTCGTCCATTCCTCCCTGGTAAACAAAGCATCTCCAGTGCAATTCTCAGGGCATGCTCATACACCTCTTGAGATTTACAACAGGGGTAGTTTGTTTGTAATGGAGAAACAGACAAAAGGTTATTTGGCTAATGCTAAGCAACAGGAATTCAGTCACTGTTTTAAGGAGGGATTGATTATTCCCTCCTTATACAGGTAAGATGTGTTATTGGCATTATTCAATTAAATTCCTATTTGAAATATTCTGGACAATTTGTGAAAGTAAATAAACAATCTATTTTTAAAAATTTTAGTTAAATTCTTTTTGAGACCACTCTGGTGAGTGAGAACATGCATTTAACTAAAACATTTGACTACTTTAACAATACACTGGTTGAAACATATGCAAGCTTTAGCTGTTAACAAGATTAGGTCATACTAAATCCTAAATTTAAATGCTGAATGCTTTGTTTCTCCAAGCATCAAGAGAAAGTGACATTTTTACTATAACTGTGTATATAGGTAAATAAGAAAATATCCGATGGTCATTAATCCTGTAGTTTTCAGTCTAAGCTATTGTGCATTTTTGTTTCTGAATCCTTTTCTCTTTTTTTAACATTTCTTTTTTAGGAACCCATATTTAATCATTCACCCTATTCAAGGATATTCACTGGCTGAAATCCTGTTGCTTAGTGTAAGCCAAATCATAACTTTTCGTCCATTCCTCCCTGGTAAACACAGCATCTCCAGTGCAATTCTCAGGGCATGCTCATACACCTCTTGAGATTTGCAACAGGGGTAGTTTGTTTATAAGGGAGAAACAGACAAAAGGTTATTTGGCTAATGCTAAGCAACAGGAATTTAGTCACTGTTTTAAGGAGGGATTGATTATTCCCTCCTTACACAGGTAAGATGTGTTGTTGGCATTATTCAATTCAATTCCTATTTGAAGTATTCTGGACAATTTGTGCACGTAAATAAACAATCTATTTTTTAAAATTTTAGTTAAATTCTTTTTGAGACCACTCTGGTGAGTGAGTACATGCATTTAACTAAAACATTTGACTACTTAATACACTGGTTGAAACATATGCAAGCTTTAGTTATTAACAAGATTAGATCTTACTAAATCCTAAATTTAAATGCTGAATGCTTTGTTTCTCCAAGCATCAAGAGAAAGTGACATTTTTACTATAACTGTGTATATAGGTAAATAAGAAAATATCCGATGGTCATTAATCCTGTAGTTTTCAGTCTAAGCTATTGTGCATTTTTGTTTCTGAATCCTTTTCTCTTTTTTTAACATTTCTTTTTTAGGAACCCATATTTAATCATTCACCCTATTCAAGGATATTCAGCATTCTCTGCTGCCTTGGGATTATATTATGTCTTGTAACATCGATAGCAGTAGAATGGACCGGTTTAAAGGTTGCCAAGAAACTGCATTGCCTTCTGCTGAATAAAATTATTTTGGCCCCCATGAGGTACTCTGCCATATGAAATGAGAAGAAATACATTATATGTAATTATCAGAGAGCTTTCATATGCAGTTCTATTCTAAATGATTAGTTATCACTTAGTTCCTTGTTTTCTTTAGCTTTTCAATGCAACACGTCTAAATGATCTGGAGTGTACAATTGTTTTATGTTTACCTTTTTTCTGGTTCCAAGGTGACCAACAGACAGGCCTTCATCATGACACAGAGTTGGTTATTTGTGGCTGAACAGGAAGGGAACAGGAACTTCTTCTGGGCCAAATGATTGTGGAAATGGGTGTTAGGGGAATCTGGGGGAATGGAATCTGGTCAAAACCCAACTGGTTAGTTAAAAGTGTAGTCCAGGTGAGAAAATAAACATTTTTGTATCAGCCAGTGGCAAAAAGATGCACCAGTTGCCACCATCCCCACCAGGACTCACATCCTGTGAAGCCCTGCTTACAGTCAGTTAATACAGGTGGAGAGTTTTTCTCATACCCTGAAGTGCTGCTTTGATTTGTGTAAAATGGCAGCCTATGGTGATCACACACACACCCACCCCCTGGGGTCTGCATTGCTTCTGCCAGGACACATGCCAACAAGAAGGCTCCTGAATTGTGAGTCTGGATTTCGTATCCCTGTCTTTCTCAAAACAGCAGAATAGACCTGCATGTATGTACCTACCTCTCCCCAATTTCCCTTCTCCGTGCTTCTGGTTTATTGGTCTGCTGATGTTATACAAGCACAGTTGCAACCAAAAAGATGTATTTTTACTGAATTTGTATGTGAATTGTGGCGCCAGCTGGCAGTGAATGGAAACAGATGCCTAGGCTTTAAAGTCGCAATTTGTCTCCCTGCTTGGAGATCCAAGGAAGTGTACCACACAATATTGGTCTGTGTCCTGAGAGGTGGAAACACCACTCAAAATAGTCTGGCACTGTAGCTCCCACTCAGGAGGATTCTGACCCCATCTCAATCCCACAACACTTAACTGGCTTCAAAGTGGTTACAAACATATTACCCTTCTGTCACAGAATCACAAAATTATAAAGCTGAAAGGAACCCAGCCATCGACTCCTCTAGCCCTCCACTCCCAAAGGCTATAAATTCAACAGATAAACCCATGAATGACTGTAATCTAATAACGTGACAACTAGAATAGGCCCCTTGAATCAAGGGAATTCACAGAAGAATTGACTCACCAAATCCCCACTGACTCAATGCCCTCCTCTAGTTGTGACATACTATTGCATTTAAGCCACTGTGTTATGCCTTATAAATGGTTGATTTGATTATGGCATAAAAAGTGGATTTCCATTTAGTAAATAATGCTATCATTTCTACATTCTTACTGTATTTCTATAAAAGAGATTAAACTGTATGCACTTTACAAAGACCTAACACATGTTAAATGAGTATATGATATGTTCCTTATACGTCTCAATAAAGGAGACGCTGAGTGAAGTATACCGTATTTTTCGCTCCATAAGACACACTTTTTCTCTCCAAAAAGGTGGGAGGGAAAGTACATGCATCTTATGGAGTGAATACAATAACCCAGGGTTCAGCCACCACCACCCAAAAGCCTCCCACTGCCATGCCAGGAGGTCTCTGAACTGGCAGCAGAGACTGCTTGCTGTTCAGACCTCAGCATTCCGCACTGCTGGTTTTCCAAGATCTGCTCCCTGCAGCTCAACTGGAAAACCAGCAAGGCAAACAGGCCTGTGGCAGCAAGCAATGCAAACAGCCAAAGACCAAAGGGGAAGGAGTGATTCTATAAAAACCAGGGGAAACCAGAAACACAGTCCCCCATTTAGGCAGTTGATTTTCCCACATTTGGGGAAATCACAGGGGTCAGCTCATCTGAAGTGCAATAGATGAGCCTTACCCTGGGAAAACCACTCTTACAAGAATGGTATCTTCCCTGCCAGGTCTGAGTTTGAATGGCCCCTAAGCCTCCTGGCCCTTTGTGTGCCCTGCCCTCAAAAGGCATGGTGACCGCCTGGCTGCACCTCCTGATCAGAACAGGGTTGCACAGCCCCAGTGCTGAAAGAGGCCAGGAGAGCTCCTCAGTGTTTTGGGGTGCCCCACAGGACCCCCATCAGGGGCTAGATGTTCCTCCCACAATCCTCCAGTGCACATATATTAGCATACCT